TGGCAGACTTTCATACATAAAATTAGTTGAGAAGAAATGGTAGCGTCTATATACCAAAAATATCTTAAAATGTTAAGCGTCAGTCCCTTAATAACTCTGTCGAAGAAATTTGTACTGAGAAGGCGTCAAAAAAAAGATATTTACATTTGAACCTTTTTAGGTTATGTCCTATGTCACTTGGAAAAAGTCATGCTTCCTGTGGTTGTTTGATGTTAGCTTAATACATAATACATAATTGAGAGTTTTTGGATTATTGTATCTCTATTATATATTTGCATACTATAAATGTATATTTCTGGCATGGCTCCAGGGCTTTTGTACCATAGTGACATTCTCATAAGGGCTAGAACCCAGAGCCGTAAAGCCAGTAAAAAAAAGTGACATTTTATTTTAGCTAGTGTTGGCATAACATTAAATGGAATTGTTACATAGTACTTTGATTGAGATAATGTATTATTGTAGGAAATTCTTTGTAAGAGACTTATTCTCAGCCATATTACTTTTATTTTTGTTATTACTGATAGTACAGTTATTACTAATAATAACTTAATATAATAATATTTTGTGTGTTGTGTTGGTAGTGTTACAAAGTGTAAACGAAAATAGTAGGAATATACTAAATGGCAACATTTGAATAGAGTAAAATGATTTAAGTCATTTTATATTCCCAAAAATGTTTGTTTTTTTCTGTGGCTTTAATTAAAATACATTTTTATTTGAAAAAGCATAGAATAATAATAAAACTTATTTTATATATAACTTCTTTCTAGACGCTATAATTTTTGTCAACTATTTTTCTGCCATTGCTCTTTAAGTTTAGTGAACAAAAAATAAATTATTTTATTTTATTTTTACTCCTGGGGCGTCGAAAACAGACTTATTAGCTAATATTAAGGAGCTACCACGTAATTTAGTATCTCTATTGAACGAACTGACCACCTGGTGATTACTGAAATTAAATATGGAGTTGTATTCTTTCAACCAATGTTCTGTAATACATAAAATATGTATGTGTGTGTGACGCATCAGAGCGGATTTCAAATAAAATGACGCGTTATATAAGCGGACCTAATATTTTTCATAAATCGTAATGGACTTAAATGTGGATATTTCGGTTGTAAGTTTAATAAATTGTCCGATAATGTAAAAAATATTAAGAATGTTTTAATAATATTCATAAAAATCCAATTTTAGTGACCGCATACTCCAGTATTTATTCAGTTTCGTAACTTTTTTAATTATTGTTTTAATAAAATAAAACTATTATTATTCATATAAATTTTATTGTTTCAATGAAATCAAAGAAAAATCTTTTTAAAAACTAAGCTTTTTACAAAATTCTACGTAGAAATTTAGATAATCTACTGTGTAAAGCTCCATTACATAACTTCAGATATTTTGGGAAAAAAATATCATTTACCACAATATTTGAAACACGTTCAATATCAAACTCTATTGACGAAATAAAAAAATAAACACTATGAAACTTTCAAAAGCACTCAAATCAACAATATTTGTAAGATAAACGTAAAAATTAAAACTAATAACTGTGGGACAGTTACATTAATGGAATAATGTGTTACGAAAAGGAACTGCTTAGGGTTTTTCCATAAGTACACCATTTTTCTATAAGTACTAAATAATACTTAATTACTATAATTTTAAAAGTTTTTGTTCTTAAGATTAGTGACTCATAAAATTAAAAAAATATTCAAGTCTGTAAAATAATTCACACCCTGAAATATTTTTAGCTATTTGAGTCATCAATACTAAAAATATGTCAGCGTATGAAATATATATAAAAAAAAAAACAAAACGATAAAGAAACAATACTTTAAAGTTCTTTTAATATTAATAATATTTTAAGGGTTACGTCTTAGTATAAAATTAAAAATTCAAAAGATTCTACTAATAAGAAAAATCTTCATATTTTTTCGATTGCATCGCATCGATCGATCGCGAAAAAATATTATCTTCTTCAAACGATTACAAATTTTAATGTTTCTTGGTTCAGACGTCTTACTTTCTTATTTTCTTTCTTCAGAAGATACTTTCTTTTCTTTTTTGCTGTTTTGATTTCTATTTTGATTTCTCCACGGTCTTCTTTTTTCTGTTTTTCTTCTTCGCTGAGCTCATTTATTCTTTGTTGACATTTATTTTACTCGTTCTAATTCTTTTTTCTTGTAAACTTCATACTTTTCTTTATCTTTTTTTTATATTTTCTCGGAATCATTTTGCCCATTCGACCCCAGTGAGCGGCATTCTGTTTTGTAGGTAGGTTTTGAAAAGATAAGTTTTAAAAGTATCTGAAAGATGAAAAAAAAATATTTTGTTGCTGCAGACATATTCAGACAAACTACCTACTCTAATTCAAAGCTAGACATGCCTTTATAATTCTGTTACGTAACAAAATTAGTTCCGCTAATATGTAACGTAATTGATGTTACGAAAAGTTAGCTTGAAATTGAAATCAATCATTTTTAAGTAAAAAGTAATGAATATAAGACATTTATGTTATAAATTATTAACATTATACTGTTTTGAAAGAAAATTAAGGAAAAAACAAAACGTAGCAACGTTCTTACCTGAGAAAACACGAATTTGTAATGGAACAAAATTTTATCACACACAATCACCACCGCATTTCGTAACGAATTACTTCAAATTGGCAGATAGGCGTTCAAACTTTGTTTGACGTTTACTTTGAAAATGTTACCAGAAGTGCGAAAAATCTACAAATTGAATATATATTCACTTTGTAGTACCTGTTACGTGCGTTACGTAAAGGAAAATTCCGCCAACCTTGTTTTTGAGCACAACAATTAAAAGAATTATCTATTTTATTTCTTTTAGAAAACTCTAAAACATGCATTAATTTTGTTTTAATATGAACTGTTGAAACAAAAATTTGTCTAAATCAGATCTTTTTGTTGGCAAGGTATAGGGTGGACATGTTGAAATTGATGGTTTCGTCAACATAAATGTTTACTTCATGGCAATATTTAACAGGTTAATTTAGTTTTTTTAATTTCAAAATAATCTTTATATGTTTCCTATCTATATTGTTACCGACAAAAACAAAAAACTTGATTCCCTTATAAATAAACTATTCAAAAAGTAAGTGGACAGCGCAGTTTTCCTATGGTCATTTTATTTGAAATCCGCTCATCAACATATTGTGAAGCAGTGAAATTCTATATACTCAAAATATGGAGTGTAGAGTAGAAGGAGAACCATCTAATAAGGTGCGAAAGTTGAAAAAGTGTCCCAATATATACTGAAAATAGAGGTTCCAAAACCTACCACAATAGCGCTGGCGTCTGAAAAACTACGATATGAATATAGCTGTTGTAGACGGAGTGAAGTCAGCTGAATTAAAATATTTAAAAAAATTAATGACTAGAGTAGTTAGTAAAATGCCCGTATACAAAACCTCAACTATTTACGTAGTCCTTGTTTATTTCTCCATCTTATTCTAATGAATTTTGGCGCTTTTTTTTAATTTATCCTATGCTATTGCAGCGCCACCCTTATTGGACGCGTTTTTAGGGACACTTTTCATATACAGAGATGGTCCTCCTTCTACTTTACACTCCATAACTCAAAATAAAAAAGACATGGCTGTATTGCATAGTTCCTTTGCCTGCTCTTTCGAGCGAATAATAAAAACAACAACAAACAACAGCAAAAACTAAAAACCCTAAATTATAATATAAATTATAGAAAGTAGACAAACACCGTAGATAGAGGATGGAGTCTATGAGAAACACTCACGGTAGGGATGGGCAAGGGAAAAAATATATCGTTATATATTGAATCGATATTTTTAAACAATCTCTATATATATCGCGTGATAAATATCGATATATCGTCATCATTTGCATGATGTAAAGATAAGGACAACCACACATGAAACACACATGAATAATTTTGTACCTCATTTTGTTGTTACATGTTATGTCATTAATACAACATTTTAAAATATATCGAAATTGATACAAATACGATACTCTAAAAGAAATATCGATATATGGAGATTGAATATATCGATATGTTTTGCCTAAGCCTAACTCACGGCTTACGGATAAACAAAACCAAACAAAAACAAACATCAAAAATTATATATATAAGTGTAACACAGAGTATCTTTGTAGTGTCTAATTTAACGTCTTAAATCTTAATAGATTGTTAGATTTTGGTGTTTAAGAATATAACCATGGATCGGTAAGTATTAAACAATTTTTATTTATAAATTTGTAGATTTATAAAACTTGTGTACAGGAAAAATATTATAATCAATTTTCGATAACAAACCTCGTTGCTTTCATATTTTAATTTATTTAGGGATAAAGTTTTATTATTTAAAGTTTTAGCTTTCTCTCTGGCATCTATGCCATCATTTTAATGAATTAGATACGTTACAACATACGTTAGTAGTATTCAGTTTGTAAATGATTAGTACTTAAAACTTTACGCAATAGTAAAATGACACCTCAACACACTGATCCCGATGCCAGCCAGATAGGAGTCAGCCATTGTGTGGGCGAATCAAGTTGCACGGAGTATTTAATTTTATTAGTTTTTGTGAGTTTTGATTTTTAGGTTAAACTAGTTTTGCTTGTATTTTTATCTGTTAGTGTAACAAGAGTTCGTATCCGAGGTAGCAGACGCGGTGGAAGAGGTGTTAGAAATCGTTGTGGACGAATCCAATTCAAGGATGTGGAGAAGGAAGTGCTACGTGGTCGTAGCCCTGGCCGTGGAGTTAGGGATGTTAAAAGGCTTCAAGCGACTGACGAGTAAGATTTTTTTTCCTTAGTGATATGTTGATTTACTGATTATAAGCACGACTTGATCATGTAGTCCCATGTTCGAATCCCAGGGAATATTTTATATTTGTCTTTCGTTTTTATCATGTAGGTAGGTTTATTTTTCTTTTGATAAGTTTTTTTTGCTGATTTAGTGGTTGTAATCACTACTAATGATCATGTTGTCCCAGGTTTGAATTCCGTTTTGAAAATCAGTTTTAGGTCAAGAAATACTCATTACCATCATAATTGTTTTGAAATTTCAAAATAAATGGTTTTGTTTTTAAGGGTGGTGGTGGTCAATATTGAGTCACTGCCAGAGGGACTACCAATAGAGACGCCTCTCCATGCAAAAAGAAGTCGTACTTTGACCCTGTAAGTAGTTTTACTTGAAATATGTCTGCTGCAGATATTGTTATAATATTCAGATTATATAACTAATAATAAAAGTATATTTTTATTTTTACTAGCAGTCCATTGCAACTCAATATTAAGGCGCCACTACCTGTGGACCCAACAGTGGCTGAAGGTACACCACATGAAGACAAATCACTTCCTGTAATGGTGCCGCCATCTCCTGAAATGTGAGTTAATTACTTTTCTTGTTATATAACTTAATCATCATCATGCCTTAACTAACCCACGTCAACTCACTATGCTCAGTAGTGTCGATCAGTGTATATCTTACTAAAATAAAAAATGCCGGCCAAGTGCGAGTCGAATTCGTGCATGAAGGTTTCTATACCATCATAAAACATATTTCTTGTAGGGCAGCCCCCTTTAATTTTTAATTAATTTTTATTATATGTTGTAATTGCAGCAACAGAAATACACATTCTGTGACAATTTCAACTGTCTACCTATTGAGAATCATGAGATACAGCCCGCTGACAGACAGACAGGTGGACCGTGGAGGCTTAGTAATAGTGTCCCGTTGGTTACCATTAGAGTACGGAACCCGAAAAGTGACTAAACAGATTTTGTTCCAGGAATGGAAGTGGTGAACAAGGAATGTCATCGCCAAGTGGCAGTGGAGCCAGTGTGCAGCCTCCTCGCCCTCTTCAGTTGCTTCAGAATGAAGAATCTTTTTACAATATAGATTATGGTAGGAAATTGCTTATCTATACACTACTATTTTGTAAGTACAAAAAAAAATTTTCACAAAAGTTGCAGCAGTTGCTATTAGTGAAAATGGCACTCAGAATTTAGAATTTTTTATTATTTATCTATCACAAATCACAGTGTTATCGAAGTTTGTTTTTATCCAAAAACTGGCATAATTTTATTGTCACAGTACTAGAAAATACTACACAAGTCAATAACTTACGCACTCCATTCATAAGACACTCCCATTCCATCTCTCACCATTAGTACACAACTACTTTCTCATTCGTAATGTTCTCTCGCTTACTTCAACGGCTCAAGAAATGCATGCCTACATATTTTGATTCGATATGATAGGTAGGTAAAGGTATGTAAATAAAGGCTTGAAAATACTTTTATTTGTGGTTAATTGCAGCTTTCCCTTCATACTTTTAAGGGTTTAGGACTGGCAAAATACTTTCCAATGAAATAGGTAGTAAGATTTATACGTGCTAGAGCCATGCTGCAGCTATATTAGTAGTATAGTTGTAGCACAAATGGGTCGGCTCGACCAGGGAAGGACCACGCTCTCACAGAATACCAGCGTCAAATAGCAGCTTCATGCTGCTGTGTTTCGTATGGTGAGTGTAGAGAACCGGAGACCCTTTTTACTGGAAAAGAGGCGTTCTATCTTAGTCCTCACGGGTGACAACGCATCTGCATTTTGATTCGCAAACGAGGATAAATGTAGGTGTCTATGGGCCACAGCAACCACTTACCATCAGGTGGACTGTGTGCTTGTTTGTCACCCTATCCTATAAAAAAAAATAACAAAATTAAATAATTTACAGAGCAGACACGGAAAATAATATTGGCGTATTAAAAAAGTAGCTATCAGCTGTTTACAAATGTAATTACATCTACGCACGCACTTATTTACACTATCACTAACCTACAAGTATTTTATGCCTCATCCACACGCTTGCCAAACAACGGCGAACAGCATACACCAAACAGCAATCACAAACGTGTGGATGGTTGTTTGCCTGTTTGTTTGTTTGTTTGTATGTGAATGCCAGTGATCGGCGTTGGTGTCGGTTTTTGTGCACCGATCAAAGGCTGTTCGACAAACGTGTTTGCTATGTATCCACACGTTTGGCAATCAGTCAGTAGTACGCGCGAGCTTGCGGCTTGCGGGCGGCGGAAGGAGTTACTAGTGACTATTATTATTATACTCTACGCCAATGTTACCAATCCGAAATTTGTACATATACCTATTATTTGTTTTTCAGGAAGTGAAGAGTCTGAGGTAAGCGAGGAGGAAGATTTGTTGACTACACTGATTCCTAGGACCATTAGATTCCTAATGAATATGGACATGTCCCGGGATGATAACGTTGCTGCCACAACCATGCTTCCTACGACCATGCCAGATCTTTCCACGTCTGCAACTGTTGCAATATCGCCACATAGTTTTTATGATTTTGAGTGGAAATCGTTTCCAAATCCTCCTATTCCACTTGAGTCGAGGAGAGAAACATTTTCAAAGAGTAATGTTGGTCCAACAACTCCATGTGCTGACCCTTATGACACATTCATTGCCATTTGGGATAGGCAAATTATGAAGCACATTGCCTCGGAAACGAACAGATATGCTCAGGACGTGATACAAAAGATGATTCCGCACAACACTGTCCGTACCCGGAGTCGTTTACATTCATGGCATCCGACAACAGTTGACGAACTGTATGTCTATTTCGGCATAACCCTGGCGATGGGGGTACTAGTTAAAAACAACATTGCAGAATACTGGAGTGCCACTCCTGACATATTTTGTACACCTGGTTTTAGCGTGCACATGTCTAGCCGACGTTTTCGATTGTTAAGTAAATTCTTGCATTTTAACAACAATAAGGGCATGTCTTCGCTAAAACCGGACACTTCCGAGGCTAAATTGTTTAAAATGAAACCGCTGTTGTCACACCTAAATAGTAAATTTTGTAGCATGTACAACATGAGCCAAAACATTGTGCTTGATAAATCGCTTTTGCAACGGAAAGGTCGCTTGGATATAAACCAATTCATTCCAAATAAAGTCACCTCAGCAGGGATTAAAACCTATGAGATCTGTGAATCTCAAACTGGTTATATGTGGCGGTTTGAGATTCATGCTTATGAGGCTTTTAAACAGACAATCGTTTTGAGACTTATACAAGGTCTTGAATACAAGGGTCACACATTGTGGATGCATAACTTTTACAATTCACCAATACTCGCCCGAAGGTTAAAGAGCTTTGGTATTGACTGTGTTGGTCCCTTGAAGACCAATTGTCAGTTTGTGCCCAAGACTCTGACCGGACTCACTAAAGCCAATGTGCAACCAGGTGACATCACTGGCTTTACGTCGGGTGATGTAGATCTGATGGTATGGAGAGATCAGAACCTAGTGGCGACTATCTCTACATACCACGGAAATGCTATGACTCACGACAATGGCCACCTCAAACCAATTCTTATTACAGACTATAAGGTCATGATGGATGGGGTGGATAAAAAGGATCAGATGCTGGCGATGTATCCCATCGAAAGGAAACGAACAAGGGTATGGTGCAGGAAACTCTTTTGCAGACTTCTTAATGTATCTGTTTTGAATAGTTATATACTTGTTAAACAATCTTCTTCTTCCATCTTACATCGTTCTTTTCGTTTGTCCCTCATAAAATCTCTTTTAAAAAATCATGCTTCTGTTTCCGTTTCCATTGTCGCACCTCCACAGTCCAGATTAGAGATAAAATATCATCACCTAGCAGACTTACCATATTTGCCTGGCCAAACAAGGCGGCAACGGCGTACTTGTAGTATTTGCAAAAAACGGGTACACACATTCTGTGTAGGTTGCAACAAGGCTGTATGTATGACCTGTTTTGTTCCTCTACATCCTGAATAATTTGTGTATTATGTATTTATTTGTACCAACCTTTGTTTGTTTGGAGTATGATAGGCTCACTTGATGGTAGTTAATTCTGTTAATCCATCCTTTAATATGCTTTGAGTTTTTTGACTGCTTTGAGTTATAGTTTTAATTCTGCTGAACCTTGGACTGTAATAGGCTCACTTGATGGTATTAATTACAGTTGATTATGCTGAACCTATTTCGTTTGACCGACCATCCATGGAGTGATGTGTGTAAAACATAAGTGCGGCTTTGCAAAAGAAAGTAATCGTATTGTGAACCTTATTTTTTCCAGTTAAACAACTTATTATTTTTGTTAACAATCTAATGCTAATGGAATTATAATTTATAGTTATTCTAATCACATTTTATATTCAAACAATACCTACATGATTTAATTTATCGAATTGCGAATGTCATTTTTTATACAGTTAAATAACCTATTAATTTTTCTTATACAGTCTAATCCTAATGGAATTTTAGTTATAATATAATATACTATTATGTTACATTTTATTTAAAAAAATAAACTTATTATTTAGATGTGACAGCACTCCATACTATCATGGCCATATTGCACCTTTTGCAGTGAAATTGCATGTTTTTGATGTAAATTTCTGGATTTAGAGAGATGTCTTTTTGTAATATATTTTGTACTTGCTATTTCATCGAAATGTAGAATATAAATTTATAAGACTATAATATCTAACACAATTTTCTCTATAACCCGAAGAGGAGGGGGCCACCTACAACTATGTTATAGCATGTTGTTGGTTTTATGTCCATAAATATTTAACTAAACAATCTTTACATCTGTACCTTTTTCTGATAAGTATTTAAGCCAAACTAAAAATCGCCGCTTACTATTAAACTCTTAAATTACGCCATATCCGAATGGTTATTTACATACTTGTCAAAGTTATAGACCCCGTCAAACAGTATAGTAATGAGAAATATTTAGAAGGGACCCCATCAGATGAAGCTTCATCTGAAGGGACCCCATAGAACAATAGATAAGTGTGTTCAGAACTTACGAGTACAAATAAGCAAGGTATAGAGCGCGCGTATCGCTCAATGCCCATTATGCCAAGGTAACCAGATGTTCTGTAAATACTGATGCATAGTGGAGAGTGTTTGAATAGTTATTGTACTAAGTTATTAATTTGATTATGTAAGTACTTGTAAATATTTGGTAAGTGATAATGAAAAGGTATGTTTTAGCTCAATAAAACAGGTACGAATTTATGAAACGATATTTATTAATCAAACACAAAAATCTAATTAATTTACCCTTCCTTAAAAAACATATTATAGAGTTACTGGGAACTTGATAACTTCCTGGCAGGGCATGATAGGGGAGTCAAAATGTGTATTCACTTTTAACCCTTTGAAAACATGTTTGTATGTTGAATAGAAACTGGTTTTACTAAAAGTAATATCGTTTTGATATTAGTTTTTATTATTTTATACAATATGTCAATAACTTTTACTTATGGACGATATGCGTTATGCGTAGAGAGATATAGGTATGTCGTCATTGTAACTTGGAATAGGTAAATAGAACTTATTCTCACTTAAATTCTTGTTTTATTATAGTCTTCCTCTGCCTGTGATACAGGCTTCCCATGCCCCATTATACTAAGGTTCATTTCATAATAAGATTCAATAACCCCTCGCTCACGGTAAGCAAACGATAAAAAGCCTACATACGTTTTTTAATTAAAATAATATAGTTAGAACTTTCTTATGTTGACGGTAAATGGTATTTATCAACAATATTTATATAATATGCAGGTATTAGTAAAGGGTATTTCAATTGGCGTAGATTTTGACGGACGGTGGCGGTCATTTTGTTTTGGTGACATCTATCAAATTGTGCCGGACGGGCGTAACTCTCCGGAGTAAATGTTGTCGAAGATACTCCGCGAGTCGCTCACGTCCTACACCTGTAGGTTCCGGAGGATACTTCTACTGCCGTCTTTGCGGGTGCTGCTGGAGGAAAACTGTGGACTGAGGTTCAAAATTAAAATGCACGATCTATAAAATACAAATAGTAAGGCAGTGGCCAGCGGTTCGTCTGATTGATTGGTCGCGAAATTTTATAACTATTGTTTATTGACCACGGTTGTTGAATATGGTTGTGCAACTACGGTTGTTCACTATCGGTTGGTCACTATATATTTCAAAAGAATTCTTTAAATTGTTCGGTAGTATCAAAATATCTATTAGTACCTAGTAGCTGGTTTTCTTAACACTACTGATTAGCGGCTATTATCAACTAAACTAGCAAATTTTATCACTTGTGTAACTGTGGATATCAGTTACCACTTTCTGCGACTAGCTTATCACTTTCACTATATGTAACTGCGAATATCAGTTACCACTTTTTTCGGCTAGCTAACACTCACTATATGTAACTGCGAATATTAGTTACCACTTTTTTCGGCTAGCTAACACTCACTATATGTAGTTAACTGCGAATATCAGTTACCACTTTTTTCGGCTAGCTAACGCTCACTATATGTAACTGCGAATATCAGTTACCACTTTTTTCGGCTAGCTAACACTCACTATATGTAACTGCGAATATCAGTCACCACTTTTTTCGGCTAGCTAACACTCACTATATGTAACTGCGAATAACAGTTACCTCTTTTTTCGGCTAGCTAACACTCACTATATGTAACTGCGAATATCAGTTACCACTTTTTTCGGCTAGCTAACACTCACTATATGTAACTAACATTTTTAGCTAACACTTTCACTATTCACTATATTCTGCTACTAGTCACTTCAGCTACTACCGGATACTACTGCTTCTTAACTGGTAGTTTTTCCCACTACAACGTTACTGGGTCCCGAGCCCCTAAGGTGGACTTGAGCGTTACTTTGTAGTGAGCCAGAAGAACCATAGTTTTTATTAAATTAAATTTTCACCTAATAATAACTTTGTAAATATCAAACAATAACCCTAATTTGGAAAAAAATAAGGTTTATGTTTCATAGATATTTACAAATTTTATATATTATTTAATGTTAAACAAATTTAAAAGTAAAGTCGATCTGAAAAGGTCTAATTAGTAAGAATAGCAAAACAAAAGTGTTTTCTAAAGGAAAAAAAAACAATAGTCAGATGCGCCGGCGCTGTGCGGCGGCGGTTGAACAAGACTACTTATTAGTGAACTTTTTTAATGCATGAACGGGTTCGAACTGTATCAAGCAAAAATAAACCTTATGCCATATCACAAGAGAACATGGTACTTCGTAGGTCTATTCGGCCATATGATAGTAATAAGACGACAGTTCAACCATTTTAAGCAAAATTAAACAATAAGATAAACGCATTGCTTTTTTTTAACAGGAGACTTGTTTTCCAGAAACTTTTTTACAACTTGAATTTGTGAGCGACCGCCATGAGTGCTATTATTTGTTACCAGATGGCAGTAAAACTGATTCTCATGTAAGGAGCGCTATTGTATATAATCTCCAGATAAAGTTCTGTCAGAGCTTTCTTCTGGATAATAATTATTAATTTCTTGTATAGAAAATTACTCAATTCATTTTAAAACTAACTACATTGTGTATAATATTAAAGAACATATACTTAAATTGCCAAAAAAGAGTGTTGAAGTTGTCTCTATGTGGATTTCTTCACTTCTGGTGGTATTACTGGAAATGAAATAGCTGATAAGACTGCATGTGAAGGAATAAATCCACTTGATGTAAGCCATATTTTACCTTTACCTTTTACTGACTGTTATACTGAAATAAGAAAGAATATCTGTTTATTATAGAAAGACAGCCTTGTAGTGGCGGTTTCGAATATCTACTAATCTATATCTTCCCGTTGGTGTTGTAAAAAGCGACAGAGGGGAACAGGCAGAAGATGGGCAGCAGTTTCTTCCTGATAACAGCAACAGTAAAAAATGCGGTTGCCAACCCGCTCGCCAAGTGTTGCAACTATAGCAAACATCCCCCCAAGAGCAACGACACAAATAAACGGCCCCCAGTCCCCGACAGCCCCACTATTCCTGTCTACGGTCTATTTTCGAGATGTTGGCGCTGTTAGCCTATGTGGATCTTACAGCATTATGAGGCATAGGGCCGCGAGCTATTTAAAAAAAGGAAAGCCGGCAATGAGGATGGGGATGAGGATGATGATGGTTTATGATTAGAAAGAAAGAAAAATTATTTATTACATCAAACACCAACACACATGTTACAAAAGATATTATACACTAAAAAACTTAGAACTACAGACCAAAAGAAAACCAAAAACCTAAATAAAATGGAATCAATATAATCAAAGCTTTATTATGTGTGCGGGTTTGGTATAAAAGCAGGGGCGTAGCTACCGCCGTATCAGCCGTATCAATGATACGGGGCCCCCGGGCTACAGAGGCCCCGAACGTCTGTAAGCAATAAATCTACGGACTTCTATGGGTCAGGATGTTGGTTTGAATTGTTTGGCCAGCTTAGTTCCTAGGAGTATTAATTGTAAGTAATAACTTATAATCAATATATAAGCTTTTAATACAATGCGAGAGTGTTTGTTCCTTTTCTGAAAAATATTTACCCTTCATTTGGGCCCCCCGACAAATTTGGATACAGGGCCCCTCTAAGGCACGCTACTCCACTGTATAAAAGGGCTACTTACACTTAGCATTATTTCGTAGTATTATCAACGAAGCTGGTTTTCAGTGCGCCCTCTAGTAAGTAACGTACGGACGAATATGCAATAACCAGTACAACTATTACGGCGCTACACTTGTTGTTCCTGTCACACACAAAGAGATAGTGAGTAAAAAAGAAAAAAAATGATATGCAGATATTGCTGATATGATAATAATAACATCGCAAATTCTTTATTATCAACAATATAATAATCATAAATAATCAAAAAAGGCGATCTACGCCTTGTTTGATATTTCTGCGTGTCACAGGAGTGGGCAAGTTTATTGGCGAGATAGGGTGGAGTACGATATTTTCATAAATTAAATAATAAACAAGCCATATGCAGATTGCGTCTACCTTACATTTTTATCATATTAGCATTATTAAGAAAAGGTGTAACATGAGTACGGGGCGATATACTAAAGACAAACCGAGCACATGCGTTTCGAACCATCTAAATAATGTTTTCTGTTCGAACGAGTAAGAGAGGACCGTAAACAACATCCATGTAGTCAAATTACGATAGCACCAACAAACATCATGTCCCCTTTGTTGAGGTTTATTGAGATATCTAACCGCTGTCCGAGTGGGGATGTGCGTACCCTCGCTTCTGACTACTTAATTAGCTCTATCTGCAGTGGCGAACGTGGTAGCGGCGCAGGGGGTACTAAGAATCTCCGGTGGTGGTTTGGTTGCTACATAAGACGACTCGATCTGGCAACATTTAACGCACGCATCCTGAAGACTGGAATCCTGGAGCTGGAAAAAGAGATAGACAAGTTGCGCTGACATATTATAGGATTATCTCAGGTCGGAAGAGAAGGGGGGGACACAGTAATCCTCGAATCCGGCAACTTGTTCTATCACCGGGAGGGCAACCATCTGTCTATCCCAAGGAGGTGTCGGATTTCTCGTCCACAAGTCTTTCGTTAACGACATGATAATGATTGTGAGTCTTTCGACGAGGGTTGCGTACCTTATACTCAGAATAACCAAACGATATTCGTTAAAGTTCATACAGGTTTACGTACCAACCTCGACACATCCTAATGAGGAGGTGGAGGAAATATATGAGGATATTTCTAAAGCCATGCTTTGCTCCAAATCCCACTATACGGTGTTAATGGGAGACTTCAACGCAAAATTAGGCACAAGAGAGAACGGTGAGCTGAAAGTAGGGAAATTGGGATTAGGGTAACGGAACCCAAGGGGCCAGTAGCTGGCCGACTTCGTTAGAGGCATACTGAACCTACACGTTAAGTGGGAGAGGTCTCGTGTATTGAAGTCAATGGCTCCATCACCTTCGTGCTCTAATCCAATCCAAAGCCTTTGATTCCGCCGAAATTTAGGCGGTATTACTAAGTTGACTGTGGATAAATATCGAAGCACTGAAGTGTTTGTATAGTAGGGCTACGATAGCAATCCGAGTATAGAACCAGATTACGAAACCAATCCAACTGCAGAGAGGTGTAAGACAGGGTGACGCTGACGTTATATTCCTGAAACTTCACCGCTGCTTTGGAAGACATTTTTAAGCTACTGGACCGGAAAGCATACGGTATTAACTTCAATGGCGAGTACATCACTCACCATCGATTTGACGATGATATAGGTAGTCCTTATGGCAGAATCGCTAGAAGACTTAAACGCTATGCTTAATGACCTCAATATGTCTTATAACCAAACCAAATTGAATTTTTATTTTATTTTATTGAATGATAAGTCTGAAGAAGAAAAACATTGACAAAACAAAGATCATGTGTAACGTCCATGTCACATGTACGGTAGTTGTTGGGAGTACTAAGCTCGAAGTTGTTGACGAGTATATTTACCTGAAACAAATAGTACGATTAGGCAATTCCAACTTCGACAGAGAGGTCTGTAGATGGATTCAGCTCAGTTGGGCAGCGTCCTGGGAATTACGACACATCTTCTCGTCAAGTATCCCTCAAAACTGGAAAACGAGATTGTACAACCAGTGCGTGTTGCCAGTGATGACTTATGGATCTGAGACGTGGTCCTTCACTGTTCGTCGTAAGAGGCCGTTCAAGGTCGCTCAGTGAGCTATGGAGAGGGCTATGCCCAGGGTTTCTCTGCGTGATAGACTTGAAAACGAGGATATCCACAGTATAATCAGAGTAACATAGAACAACGGATTATTAGCTGAATGGCCATATAGCTCGAAAAACTCACAGAATACCAGCGTAAAATCGTATGGTGAGTGTAGAGTACCGGAGACCTCTTTTACTGGAAAGGAAGCATTCTATCGTAGTCCTCACGAGTGACAACGATCTATATTTTGATTCGTAATCGAGAATAGATGTAGATGTCTATGGGCCACAGTAAACTCTTACCATCAGGGGGACTGTGTGCTCGTTTGTCATCCTTATCGTATAAAAAAAGAACTGACAACCGATGGGGAAGAAAATTTCTCGAGCGGCAGTCTCTTACCGGTAGGCGATGTGTAGGGCGGCTCCCCACTAGATGGAGTGATGACCTGATAAGACATGCAGGATGTCGATGGATGCAGGTGGCTCAGGTCAGGACCGTATTTTGTGGAATTTCTAAGGGAAGCCTATAATCAGCATTGGACGTGTGAAGAGCTATAATGATGAATGACGATGAAAGGATATGTGAAAGAAAGACGCCAAGCGTGTCATGAACTATTTGTTCGCCGCCACAGCTAAAAGTTGTCGAAAATTGGTGCCGCAACGAATCGGTTAATATAATATGTATTACTTGAGAGATACATTGTGTTTTCATGCGATTGCCAAGTCAATCTATTTATTGAAAATATAAAAGATTTTTAGTATTGATGTGGTCACTATAAGATGTTTTTAGGTTAGCTAACTACGTAATAACTTAAGATAGAAGGACCCTTAAGTAGGGACTGAATAAATTAAACGACTTGGTATTACATGGATCTCTCAACTTTTTACGGTAGAAGAACTGAGTTGCGAGACTTGGTTTTTTTACAAGTTATGTTTTTGATGGTATAATTTTTTCATTTCAGACAATACATACTCATTTCTACAGGAAAATAGTTTTGATCAGCCGTTGTCAGCTGCCAAAGCCTAATTACTACATACAATTTTTAATTTTTATGTAGTTACATACAATTTTTACCAATATGGAACAAATCTTGATTATGAACAAATGGAGCAAAATGCTTTTATTAAGGTTTATGAAATTAATTTGTTTTTTTTTTTAAATATATTTTTTAATATTGTATACAGGGTCATTTTTAATTTACTAAAGACCTTTTGGGAATATATTGGTTACATCATTACAAACAATTTTAGCGTGATCACTCTTCACAGAATATAATACATTTACGAAAAACTGCTTTTAAGATTTTGTTGTCATGTCTGACTCCTTTTAAGTCTGTATTTGTAGTACCTAAACAACGTCACAATAAATCGTCAAAGAAAATGCCTTATTTATTTTACACTAGATATCAGTATCATACATTGTGTTGAAATCATTAAAAAATAATGAAATGAGCAAATGACATTCAAAAAAAATCACAAATATAAAAATTTATAATGAGTAAGTATGACCGCCGGGCCGGTCGACGCCCGCGCTCAGATGATTGCGTTACGAGTGCCTACTAAACCATTCATGACTGTACCAGGCGCAACAGGGCGCCACTTTAAATGACTTAACATTAACTTTTCATATACTTCTTTATTTTGCATAGAACCATTTGATGAACTATTTCATTCTTTTATTAATTTCTTTAAGAATTAATAGACATTCTTTAATGGATATTCAGGTAGGTTTTTTACGAATACTGTTTGCTAGCAACTCTGCTTGCATCCAAGAGGCAACGTCGTACATGCGGCGGCCCAAGGCCAAGCCAAAGGTATATTTTATATATGACGTCGACACAGGTGTCATCGTCATCAAAGGCGCCGCCTGCCCTTTTCGGTTTGCAGCCATCGATTTGGTAATCGACGTTTGCAGCACGTGCAAATTAAATGAGTATTATTAACTATTTTTCTATTTAATGTAAGTTGTATTTAAAAAATGGATGCAGGTTAAAATAATTACAAATATTACAATAAAATATTTATAATGATTAAATACAAATTAACAGTAATTGAATAAAGATATTAAGGTATAATGGTTCAATAAAAATATTAAAATACAAATTTAAAAATTAGACTTACCTAGGTACTTGTCCGCGGATGGCACATTCTATGCATAGGTGACACCTAAAACTTAAGTGTTCACCGATACGAGACAATACTTGATGATTCATTTTGATTTGACCGAATGCCCAAATTATTTTTTCTGTCAACATGTCGCGGGTTTCTAATGCGCGACCAGTTTACACTAATGTCTTTACATGCTCCCACAAATAAAAATGCATTAGTATGATATCTGGCAATCTGGGAGGCCATGCATAAGGCCCGTCACGACCGACCTAGCGACCAGGGTATTCTCGTTCTAAATTATTTCTTATATTATCTCGTATTAATTCTAAACGTAAATGTTGCTTCATCAGTCCATAAAATGTTAGCTCGTTAAGCAGCTAGTAACCAGTTACAAAATGTATAATGCGCTGGTTTGTCAGCTTCATCAGGTTTGTCAGAGTTCATGAACACGATGCAATTGGAAAGGGTAGTTCCCTTCATTGTGTATGATACTCCATGCGTATTACTGTGACACATTGAACTGTCGGGCTGCCTCATAAGTGCTCGCTGCTGGATTTTGTTCAAAAAACTGCAGTATGTCTTCCTGTTCACGTACTGTGCGCCGCGGTGGACGACCACGATCGATTGATACAGGCTGGATTTGCTCGTAATCTCGCAATCGCTGTGTAGTACCTAGCATCGTAGCGTAGCTCGGTGCACGTGAGTTGGGAAATCGCCTTGAATATTCACGGCAGGCTTCACTAACGTTATCATTGCAAATTGCTAAAATTCGCACCATTTCGGTATACTCAACATTTGAGTAAGCTATCGTAACAACGCGTAACGTTCGCGCTATTAATCTCACAACGGAAGGAGAAACGTCGCGGGCGCACCAAAGGCGACTGACGACAGGTAATTAGGTCAAGTTCAAATGAGCAAGCGCCGCCTCCTACACCCCTCCACCCCTACCCCGCCACGCGCTTTATTTTGCTATTTAGGACTATTGCCGTTTAGAAGGTCCAATTAAAATATTTTTATTTTTGTATGAAAATAAAAATTGAAGAAATATAATTTTTTTCTTACAGTTGTTGTTGTTATGATGTAAATAATATATTCCCAAAAGGTCTCCAGTAAATTAAAAATTACCCTGTATATTAATAAATTAATAAATTTGTAAACAAAATTATTGTAAAGTAAAAATTAATAACTAATAAAAAAAATTATTAAATTTTATCATTGTTTCATTTTTATTTACCTTATTTTATTTTCAATATTTCAAAATAAATTTTGCAAGTAATTAATAAATAAGCTTATTTGGGACGTCCTTTGCCTGTTATAGCTGCTATAAATTAAAAAAAAAGAAATTTCATATATCATTTTGCTACAACCAATCAGGATGCAGAACCTAAGTCGAGTAAGTTTAGTTCGTGAGATGTCCGTCTGATTCGTGTACTATGTCTATGTTCGTGTAGAATCTGCTAGTTAGTCTGTGGTATTTTGTTTCTATATAGTTTGTTGACTTTGTTGTATTGTGTAATTCAAAGAGTATAGTAATATGGTGTAAATTGGTGTAAATAATAAATATTACAAATATGTTAGGATTTTAATTTTTAAGTATTTATGCGTAATTGTTTAAAAATAGATTAGTAGTAGTAGATTAGATTTACGAACGCCAAGAAAAGCTTTGGTGGTGGTAATTTACTACCCTGTGACCATTTTTTTTACTGTTTCATATTCATAGTTTGTAAAGAGTTAAATAATGGAATCTTTATCAAAGCAAGAATTAATTTCGACAATTACAAAACAAGCAGATCAAATAAAACGATACGAGGCCAGACTAAGAGGTAAGCTAAAGGTTTTAATTAAATGAACTTTCTCTAAACATCTGTTATGTCGACACATTATGTACTTGTTGAGTAAGCTCTTTTTTGTTTAGTACAATACCACTTAAAATGTCATACAGTATTTTGATAAAATTGAAGTGACAAATGATGTTACAATCACTATAGCATTAGCAGCTGTATTGGCAGAAACTTCATGGCTAAATTACCAATACTGAGGAAAAATGAGTATGACCTTAGTTTAAGTATAGGGATATAAAAGTTTCATTAGCTTGTGACATCAATGACTATGATGTCTTCCTGTTCATTTTTCAACCACAGTAAACAAAGCCAATAAAATAAAGAAGAACATGGTAGAGCAGCACTTTTCAATCATGGTAGCGCCACACTTTAACTATATGGTTGCACCACTAATGGGTCGTCTTGAACAGAGAAGGACTACATACAAAATATCAGGGTGTAATAGCAGCAATGAAAATTAAAATATTGTTGTTTTGAGATTTTAATGGAAGAGTTTGAGTGAAGAGGTCTAGTTATGAAATGATATTGGCAATGTGTGTCATATAAGTTTTTAAAAAATAGTGTTTTTGTAAAATTGAATTGAATAAACGGGCTACTTTCCACAACTCCCAAGTCTAAGTGTGTGTTTTGTGTGTGTGCAGGAATAATGCATTTATTGTAGCCATGAAATCTCCCCAAAGAAGTTCAACAGTCCTTTGATGTAGCAAGCAACTTTGGGGAGTGATCCCGGCGTGCCGAGATGTTAAGCCCTGTATATAGCGACTTCCGGACATGTCAGCAACACATGTGCCACCGTTTCTTCCTCCCACATACATGCCCTGCACAGGGGACTGTCTGTAACACCTATGGTAAATAAATGTTTGTTAAAGGTGCCGTGTCCTGTGATAGCACTTGTTACTATCCAGATCTGCCAATGGTTCAGTCTCATTAGAACCATGGTTAAAAAAATATTTATTTCAAGAAGGGCCTCGCTAGCTTGTCTATAGTCTACTAGATTTTTCCAAAGTTGAGATGTTGATTAATGAAGTGTACATGCCAGTGAACGAATGTTACCAAAGGGGATTGGTATGATTGGTTCTGGCTAGGGAATGCAATTCCGCAAGATAATTTCAATCCAGGTATTTGCTGGATTGAACCATCTTAGTCCCGCTGGATCCAGGTATTTGATGGATCCAGCAGGGTGGAACTAGACCAAACTAGTTCTTGAAGCCAAATAAAACAAGCCTTTTGGTATATTTTAAATGGTTTATTTATTACTTTAGACATACAGATGATAACATAAATTGCAGTGATAATTAAACATTATTTTGGAAGTAGCTTCTTAAAAAAGTTAAAGTATTAATTGTGTCATCTGCTAAACAGCTTCTGATATTGCACACAAGGTAGCCAGCAGCTGAAAAAGCCCGCTCAGCTTCCACGCTGGTTGGTACAATAGTCATAAGTGCGTTATAGGCGAACTGAAGGTAAGTGCCTTTTAATCCACCCGACTCGAAATAGTTCATTTCCTTCTTTATCAAAACCTCAAGCTTACTCATACTTCCAGACCTAGGTGGCTGGGCTGTTGAGCCAGGACTTTTGATACTAGTCAAAGTCAGTTCGAGTTCGTTTTCAAGTGACATTGGTGCTGCGGCTGCCGTTTGCGTCTCGAGATTAGAGAGAGGGATGTCGTCATAAGGATCATCAACAGGAGTAGTGGTTACTGCATTGCTTCCTGTGTACTCTAGCCTTTCTACTATATTTTTGATGGCCTTGCGTATTACACTCTTTGGAGGTAGATTGAATGTTTCATCATAAATAAATTGACTTTTGTCTTCTTCGTACTTATGTGGATCATGTAAGTATAATAAAACCGCTATCAAGTCAGTTCGCCGCTCTGAGATACGTTTCCTCAACGAATCAACAAGTTTTCGGGCTAACGGTTTATTAATATTTATCAGTTTGCTAATAATAAATCTCAAAGTAGTTTCCGCAGTAATCAAATTAGACTCACGTCTACACAAAACTTCGACTGCTAATTTTACCTGTAATATTCGTTCTAGATCCATTAGCACATCATATTCCTGTTCAGTGAAAACGTAGTCATGATTTGCACCAAGACCTAAGTCAATCAGGGTTTTCGATACGCACGATCTTATTTTGTTGAATATTGTTATCATTTCGCACAGGCTTGACCACCTTGTTTGACAATCCAACAATAAAGCAATATTTTTTCCCATGTCTTTTGTCATATACGTCTGCAGCAGATCGTTTTTAGTAGGCGAATTTTTAAATAGTTTTACTACTTTTCGTACCTTCTTAACAACTTCTGCATATTCCACAGTCAGGTTTATTTCACTTGTAGGTGTAGGAAAAGACAAATCAAAAATGTCATTTTCGTCATTTTCCAAGTCATTGTCACAATTCTCATCAACTCTTTCACTAACTGTCTCATTTCGCACTGACATTTCTTCATTTGATGCTTCGTGGCCACTACGTGAAGATGTATTTTGTTTATAAATAACATCCAAAACAGCCAATTGGATGCCATGTGCATAACAGAGTTGTTGATGGGGTTTGATGAGTTTCCCAACTTTTACCATGACTTTGGCACCATCTGTGGTAATACAGATTACATCCTTATCTAAAGATAGCTCGTATTCTGATAATTTTTCTTTTAAAACAGTGATACACGTTTCTGCAGGTAGACTTCCGTAAATCCGCACCAGCCCTAAGTTCCAAGAAATAGATTTTTCATTAGCCAAGGCGTGAACATTAACGTTTAAATAGCGCCTATTTCTCGTTGAAGTCCATTCGTCGAATGTGAGGGTGAATCTGTGGTTGCTCTCTTTCAGCTTTAGGAGATCTCGAATAATGGTAATTTTTACAGTCGTGCCGAAATGCATAACCATTAATTTGATAGAATTAGGCGATTTTGGTAACTTATAGCCCCCGGCTTTAAAAAGGTCTCGTAAATCCGACGAGGTGCAGAAAACCCGGAATGGAAAACCATCTTTTGACACCATGCGTGATACCCTCGTTTCTACAGCACTGTTTGCACTTGGAAAATGGTCAGTGATTTTGTGCTTCTTTGCCGAGGTTGATGGTTGAGCTTCACAATGAGTCGATGTCGAGGAACTGGACGTTGACGCAGTTGCAGAAGCTGCAGTACTTCCGCTCCCGTCTGATGCGCTTTCCTTGTCAATTTTGTGTTTTGACTTTAGATGCACATGTAAACCTTTTGTCGAACGTCCGGTCGTTTTAATTATTGATTTACACAACTTACATTTTGCGGTTTGTGAATCTTCGGCTTTCAAAAAGTACTTCCATACAGGAATAATACCACAAAAGTCTTTATACACTTTTTCCGACATTATTGTCATTCATTAAATAATACAAAACCTGGAAATTTCTCAGTTTATTCAGATTTATCTAAACAAATCAATATTCTATGAAAAAATCACTGCGTAACGTCATAATCACCAGTTGTAACTGGCAAAATATTAAGTACACAAACAAAGGCGGGGGAATCCCCGCGCCCTCACACTGTTTCTCTGCACCACGCATCGCTTAGCTCAGTTTACGCGCCGCCGCGCGAACATTAACACGTATGGACCATGCTTCTCTGTAATCCCGCCAATCCAGCGGGATTCCGTAATATTTTCGTACGAGATTAGTCCCGCAAAATGCATGCGGAATCCAGGTATTTCGGGATCCAGGTATCCCGGTATTGCATACCCTAGTTCTGGCCCTATAGTGGCCAGAGCCGGTCCTCTTCTGACCAGTTCGTCTGCTGCATCTTTGCCTCTGGATCCACTGTGTTCCATTATCTACTGCAGAGTCACATATTGTGTTTACATATCTCATTTGATTGTTGATGGCATTCATATATTAGTCCGGAGTTCACCACATCGCAATTCAGGGTTAGTAGTACTACCCTACCATCGGTCAGTATTCTGATGGAGAATTCATTAATCTTCCTAGCATCTATTGCTATGGCTGCTTGAATGATACCTGTTGATGACCCCATCTTTTGCCAATCATGTTTCAAATAAGTTTGTGGTGTTTTTGTTATAAGTACCATATATACTTTCATATGCATTTTTAGTAAAAAGCTGTTATTTTGACATTACAAACAGACACTACAATTTTATTTATTTGTATAGATTAAAATGCAAATGTGTTCTGTCATCCCTGAGAACTAAGATGGAATATCTCTTTTCCAGTATAAAGGGTTTCCTATTCTCCACACTCCCCCATGTCAAACAGCAGCATTAATTTGCTATTTTACACCTATCCTCTGAAAATGTGGTCCTTCCCCGGTCCAGCCCACCCATTAGTGCAACAATCTCATTTAGCTGCAACATGGCTCTACCATGCTACATCCTCATTTAGGTGCAGCATGGCTCTACCATGTATAATACATACATATAGGTCAGACTAATAAAAGTGGGTCAATAAAATTATTCCTGTTATCTACTTTATGTTAATTATAATTGTTATCGATAATCAATGAAATAATGATATTGTTAAAAAAAATCATTTCTTTTTCAGATGTTGTTACTGCCTATAAGGGACTTGTCAAAGAGAAAGAGGCTTTGGAAATCAGTTTGAAGGCTCTAAGTAAAGGAGAAACTGAAAGTGAAGAAGGTTTTTGTTATTTTTGTTAAGATTGTCTTTTTAGTTTTAACAAGTGCTTAGAGTAGTACCATAATTTTTTATTTAGGTACATGTTACACTTTTCGGGGTGAGGATGAAAGGCGTCGGGCATTCTGTCATCAAGAGGGGGTGGTGGGGAGTATGTGGCCTTGACTGCTGCTTGAATGTTGCTTCTGTTTAAATATTTAAATAATGATTTGAATGGATTTTGTGTATTGTCTTTATATGTGAACTATTAGTGAAAACGATGTATAAAATGCTCCAAAGCTGATATAAACACATGTCGCACTTTGCTCGATGAAGATGAGCTGCATTTTGTGGAAGGGGGGGTGGGGGTGGAATATATGGTCTAGACCAGTGATGGGCAAAGTCAGTAATCCGGCCCGCCGACCGTCCTTCGACATGAAAAGTATATATCCCACGATAATTATATTTTGACAGTCCAGAAATATAAAGTAGATTCTACTTAGTAGAGTAATAGACACATAAGTAAAGGAACCAGCTAGACTAGCCGCGTGTTTCTAGTGTTGCGGGTCGCGGGGGTTGGGTTTAAAGCTAGATTTTTATAGAAAACTACCTAAAGCTTAATTACCAAAGATGATTTCTCTTTGTTGAATGAGCTTACAGTATCTTGAAGTCTTGCAGTGGTATGCTTGGGTTTGGATTTAATTTTGTTAGTTATAGGATCCCAAACGGATGCTAACACATGTTCTCTATTGAAATTAGGATGTTTTTTCATTTCAATAACCTCGCATATAATCCTTGGTAGAATTGTCTTGGTACATCTTGAACATGTTCTCATACTGCAGCCTTCCCAGAGCGTCGGTGCCTCACGTCAGCTATATGTTCTTTCACGCGGATTTTAATAGATCTTTTTGTTTGTCCTATGCAAGAGAGACGACATTCGCAATCAAGCTTGTACACTCCTGCATTTTGTAGAGGGAATATTACACTTGACGGATGGTAAAAATTTACTAATCTTCTTCGGTGGCTTGAAGTATGTTTTAATGGAAGCTCGCTTCAAGATCTAGTTTTAAAACAGAAACCTGTCCCAACTACGCGTACGCAAACGCCTGACTCCACTACGGTGTGGTGCTTTAGAATAACAGCTGATAAAGTATTTCTTATTCAGAAAAAATATATTTGCATACTTCCAAAATAGACTCGATGACAAGTTGTAAAAATTGTTTTATCAATTATGATATGGATTAATATCCCTATACATATATATCTGAAATATGCTGACTGCCTCCCTCAATATTTCCGCCCTAAAAATTTAAGACCAAAAATTTTATTAACCACAGCAACACCAAAATTATCTATTTGTAGCTAAATTCGAAGAAGCAAACAGAAACGAAACAAAACGACGTAGTTTGCAAAGCAATAACGGGAAAAAATACTTTAATTTGTTATAACTTAAGGTTGATTTCACACTAAATGTTATTTAACCTATGTCTTTTCATATCCAAGTGACAGGAGTAATGCATTGAATTGTTCTTTTTAACTAATAATCGTAAGATTTGTAACTTATTACTAGATACCACGGTTGTAATTGGGTTGAACATAAAACTGTTTTAATTTTTTGTCTCAGTTCTTTAGTAAACAAATGTAGCTGTATATGTATATATTCACGCGGACAGCATATAGTGATGATTTTGTACGTGACCCGTTATCTAGTTTATTTATTTATTTATTTATTTATTACAAAGTATAGTTATTTAATAACATCGGACAGTACAAATAAACTTACAAAAGTTTTTCCATGTACCGCCAATTCGTAACTTCGATCATGTTCAATCGGTTCGCGTTGTGACAACTTATTTAATGACGTATATAAATGGTGTGACAAAATAGCAAGATGTTTTTTTTTATCTAGGTGTGTACCAAAGCAAAATATGGTTAGTATTAAATGAAAATTAGTAAATTAGTAAATTTTTTTTATTTATGTATATTATATTATTGTGTGTGTTAGTGTTATATGTTTAGTTTTATATTTTAGTTTAAGTTATTATTAGGTATCGTTAACAGTTTGTCGATAAAATACTGTTTAAGCATATATTTAATATTTTTTTCAGTAAGTTCATTTTTTATTGGTTTGGGAATTTGGTTCAAAAGAGCGGGAATTTGATATTGTAATCTAAATTTTCCGTACATATTTTTATATTTTGGGATAATCATATATGGATTAAGGGCTTGTCGAGTAAGTTTTGTATAAATACGGCTAATTTTTAATTCTTCCTTGCCATAATTTTCAAGTAGCAATAGGTATTTCACTTTGTCGTGTACTGGTAGTATTTTGCAATGATGGAAAAGACCATAAGGATTTTTTTTATATTTATCTTTTATTTTGAGAGGGGTGATACATTTAAGGATGCGCAACTGTAGCTCGTATATTTTTTCAAGGTGGGTTTTATAAGTGCGTCCGTAATTGCTTAACCCGTACGAGACTATTGATTCGCCGAGTACATTATATAGTAACAGTAACATCTGGTAAGGTACTTTACTCTTGATGAGATAAAATTTTGCAAGGATTGCTCGTAGCTTATTGCATACAGATTCAATGTGATCAGTCCATTTCATACGATCATCAATTATTAAACCTAAATACCTACATTTTTCTACTATATCAATTTGGGGACATTCACAGTTGTTATTATGGACTGAATTTTGGATATTATGAAGACATGTGTGATTATGAGCTATAAGAGTAATGTTATGTTTTAATCTATTTTGACTGGAGCTAACGTACATCATTTTAGTTTTATTCGAATTAAGTACTAGACCTGCGTCATGTGACCACTGCATGACCTTCGTAAAGTCTTCTTGTAACAGTTTTACCGCCTTATTCATATTGTGGTGGGCTACCACCAGACATGTATCGTCGGCAAATTGGAAAATTTTTGAGTTTTTAATCAATTTATTGATATTATTCACATAAGTGATGTAGTATAGCGGTCCTAATACTGAACCCTGTGCTGTACCTTCACTTACCAAAACTTTATTACTTAATGTATCCCCTACTTTGACATAATAGGAACGATTTTTGAGATAATCTCGACACCAGTCAAGAATTGGCCCTCTAATTCCTCAGTCGTCTAGTCGCTCTAGCAGTACATCATGACGTAAAGTATCGAACGCCCTATTATAGTCGATAAATAACAGCAATACATGTTTTTTTTTCATTAAGATTTTCATATATGTTATTCGTAAATAGGGAAAGTAATAATTGAGTAGTGCTTTTTTTGTGTTGAAATCCAAACTGTGTGTCATTTAGAATATTATTCAGACCATAAAAGTTATAAATTTGTCTTGTTATGTATTTTTCTATAATCTTGTCTATTATAGGCAATATAGTTATAGGACGGTAATTATCGTAGTCCTGTTTACTTCCCTTTTTGTATATAGGTCTCACGATTCCAGTTTTCAATTCGTCTGGATATTTATTAGTCTTTATACAAGCGTTGACCAATTTTGCAATAGCCGGAGCAATTTCTTCGCAAATTTGCTTTATATCTATCGCCCGTACTTTGTCGAAACCCGGAGCTTTATTAACGTTTAATGTTTTTATAATTTTAAGGATGTCTTTAGGTGTTGCTTTTCGAAAATTAATTGTTACGTTCACAGGTTGTCTGTATTCTATTTTATCTAATATATTATTTTTACATTGAGGTATTATATTTTGAACACCTCTATGAAATTTATTCGCAAAGTTATTTGCAATAATGCTTTCATTTTTGTTTTTGCCTCCAAACGCATTTAAGAGAACTGTATCTACTGTTTTACGTACCCTACCTGTTATTCTATTTAGAATAAACCAGAGTTGTTTTAAATTATCTTTATATTTATTAATTTCATAATAGATGTATTTATGTTTGGAGGATCTGATTAACTTATTGGTATTGTTGATCGAAGAAATAATCCTATAATTTAATAATAATATTAATAATTGCCAATATTTGCAGTGCCCTTGCCGGGTTCTTGTTATGAACTATGCTGCGTGTCTTACCTTTGAAAATTATTAATTCAATGCATAGTATGAGAGAATTTTTATTTGCTAAATTACACAACTAAAATAGATGTAGTAAATGGCAATTTCAATTTTTGATTACAGGTTCAAAAGATTCTGTGGCTACTCTTACGCAATCACTTGCTACACTGACAGCAGAAAAATCTCGAATGGAAGAGGCTTTTCAAGCGGACAAGAAAGTTACTAGGGAAAAGGTATTTTAATGAAAATACTGTTACGAGCTTGGGGTTCGAGACAATGAAAAACTGCCGAGTGAATTACCAAAATTAACACATTAATTACACAACACTTATTACAACTTAAAACCACACTAATAACAAAACACAATTGTACTACTAATTACTTTAGTTCACAGTTGTATCACTTCGAAGTATTCGCTTACATCGCCAATTTAATACTGACGGGGTCGCGGTCTATACAAGCCTTATATATTTCTATAGGGCCTCAGATAATTTCCAGAACCTTCTACTGTAGAAACATCTAGAATGTTCGAGTACATACCGGTCCCGGACCGATCTAGTTCTGCTACTCGATACTAGAAGGCGCTAGTGGTAACTAGTGTCGCCATGTACCATGCATTAATTGTGGCGCGCAACACTGCCCCCTCCTAAGACATGCTCGTCCCGAGCATTATTGACCCGATAATAACGCGCCAGTCGACGATTTTAGGAGTACCTCTTTCACCTTTCAGTATCCGGTAGGTTACGTCATTGATCCTTGTCACAATCCGGTACGGTCCGTCCCATTTAGCTTGAAGCTTAGAAGATTTCCCTTTGCTGCCATCTGGATTGTGTAACCACACTAGTGAACCTTCGTCGAACCCTTTGTTGTTCATTTTGCGGTCATACCGTGTTTTCATCTTTTCCGACATTTTCTGGCCCGATTATCTGACGTGCTCATAAATGTCATTCATTTTGTTCCGCAAGTCATATTGGCATAATCGGCTGTACTGCATGGGGCATCAGGTGGTGTTCCGGTGCTCAGGTCTGCAGGCAGCCGTAATTCTCTCCCAAAGTTTGCGAGAGCTGGTGTCACTGATGTAATCTCGTGAACAGTGCTTCGATATGACAACAAAAACGGTTGTATGTGCTTGTTCCAGTCACATTGCCGATTTTCCACAACTTTTGCTAGGTATCTTTCTAATGTCTGTTTAAATCATTCTACTATTCCATCAGATTGTGGGTGGAAAGAAGTTGTTTCTTGTTTTATGAGTACCCATAACACGGCAAGTTTCCTGGAATATTTGAGACTCAAAATTCCTTCCTTGATCGCTGTGTATCTAAAGGTACTCCAAAACGACAGAAGACTTCATTAACTAGTTTATCTGCAACTGTTGAAGCTTCTTGATTTGAAATGGCGAAGACTTCTGGCCACTGGTGAAGTAATCCATCACAACCATGAAATACTTGTTACCACTTTAACTTTCTGGAAATGGCCCCGCAACGTCAAGGGCTATCCTTTCCCATGGTGCACCAATATTGTACAATTTCAATGCACCTCTATTACGAGGCTGAGCTCTCTTTACAGCTTTAGCCGCACAACTTGTAAATTTGCGACAGCAGTCCTTGACATCGTTACGGCAGTGGACTCAGTAAAACCGTTCTCGGATCTTAGAGTAGAGGTCGTTAAACTCCCAGATGGCAACCATTGTGGTACAGCTGTAGAACATCCGGTACGTTACCTTTGCATTGCAGCATGAACAACCATTATGGTACAGTTGTAGAACATCCGGTACGTTAGCCTTAGGGTTTCAACCATTTGCAAATTACAGCTGTCTCACCGACCATTTTCCCATTTACGCCACAGGACTCCATCCTGAATTAGCAAGCTGTCCCATTGGGTCCAATAGCTTTTCGTGGTCGAACTCATCGCTGAGATGGCGCTCCACTTGGGCTTGGGAGCGCTGGCCTTTATCCATTCCAGAATCACTTTTGTCACTGTTATATATTATATTACCCTTATTATATATTATATGTATCATAATGATTTCTTATGTTTGAAGAATATCGGATAACTTCCAGGCAAACATAAAATGTTCTGGAAACTCGTAAAAACTGCCAGGGGACATTCAAAACAGCTTAGAATGAATGCTACGAGACAAGGGGACCGGAAGACTGGTGCAAAGCCGTGATAGTCCCAATATATAAAGGAAAAGGATCACAGCAGGACTGTAAAATCTACTGTGGTGTCAGCCTTCTTGGCATTGTGGGAAAACTGTATGCTAAGATTACTAATTGAAAGAGTTATGAAAGAAACTGATGGAAAAATTTGGGATGTGCAAGCGGGATTTAGAAAGGGAATGGGATGTACGGATCAGGTCTTTTCAATGCACATGGTCACGGAGAAGTTATTAGCCAAAAACCAAAAAGTTTTTTTCGTACGTGGACTTGGAAAAGGCTTATGACAGAGTGGACAGGGATGTGTTATGGCAAACACTGAACTCATTTAGGTTGAGTGCTGGGTTGATACAGGCATTGAAGTCTCTGTATAGGGACTCTAGTGCTTGTGTCAGGATTAACGGGGCCTACTCGGACTGGTTTGGCATCCATAAAGGTGTCAGACAGGGCTGTGTGGCTTCACCGTGGCTGTTCAACCTATTTATGGACAGTTGTTTGGAAAATTTTAAAGTAGAAGAATGCGGGTTAAGAATGGGTGAGTTAACCGTCAAATGCCTTTTTTACGCCGATGATCAAGTCATACTTGCGTCGTCGGCCGCTGAGTTGCAAATGATGGTTACATTAATGAACAGGACATTAAAAGAAAAGGGAATGAAAGTGAACGCAAGTAAGACGAAAGGGATGGTTTTTGAAAGAGAAGAAAGTAAAACGATATGTGAAATAAGAATAGTAGGGGAGTTGGTCGAGCAAGTAGATGGGTTTGTGTATTTGGGATGTGTATTTAGCAGGGATGGTAGATATGATAAGGATATAGAACGACGAGTGAACGCACTGTTATATTATTTTATAGTTTAAGTAAAACGTCACGTATGCTAAGACTGTTTTATTGCTTTGTTAATTCCATACATTATATTGCGATTATTATAAAGAGGGTAGTCTCTTTTTACCTTTACAACATTATCCTTTGAATTTATTAGAGACTACCTACAACACGCACGAAATAGAGTGAATGGGGCTCTACTAGGGTTTGGGTCCCGGGACGTCTCGTGACTCAAAGTCCCGGGACTTTTCGTAATTTTAGTTGTCGCGAGTCCCGGGACGTTCGGGTCGAGACGAGACAAGAATGTCGAAATTGTTATGTAATCATTTTTATTTTCAAATAACTGAAGGAGCCTAGCGCCATGTGTTAGTTTAATGAATAATTACTTGGTCTACTACGTAACTACTGAATACGCAACACAATAAATTAAACAAATATGTGATCATGAGAATTAACAATGAGATTATAAACAAAGATTAGATACTAAAATTACTAGATAATAGTAAAGTTATTAAGAATTAGTATGATTTTTAACTAAGTTCGTTTCATAACTATAAGATTTAACTGTTTAGAAGTGCATCTGTGTGTGACTAAAAGAAATAAACAAAGCAAATATTAACACTGAAATTAACGTTAAAGTTATTTAATTTTCTGTTTAATTGTTTAATAATTGTTGATTTTTACAGAAAATTGCCTCTTTTTAATACGTTTCACCAGAAATTAACTCAATAAAATTCTTCAAACCAGGCTTACCCATCCTAAAAAAAAACAAAAAAAGTTTTTTCTTAAGTCTTAATCAAAGTCCCGGGAATTCCCGGGACGTTGATTATAGGCTGTGCCGTGTCCCGGGACTTTGATTATAGGCTGTGTCGTGTCCCGGGACTTTGAAATTGTTGGGAATTCCCAAATCATTGGCTCTACACTCAATTGTGGGAAGTCAGAATGTGTTAAAAAGGCACGTATAGCAATTCACAATGCTGTGTTAGTCCCTACTTTAATGTAAGTAGTGAAAGTTGGGTGTGGCAGAAGAATCACGAGAATAGAATAAATGCTGTAGAAATGCGGTTATTAAGGAGTATGCTAGGGATGTATGTAAGAGTGTGGTTTGCAAGATGATGTTGTGACCAGGATTAAGAAAGGAATGCTTCGGTGGTTGGTCATGTAGAAAGAATGTATGAGGAAAGAGTGGTAAAGCAAATTTATGTTACAGATGTGAACGGCAGAGTCGGAAAGGGACGCCCTAGACAAAAGTTTATCGACCAAATTGGCGATATATTCAAAATGGGCCAAATCAAGAGTACCTTTAACCACCGAGCGTGTATGCCTGGGTATATGGATGTAGAGGAAGCGAGAGAGGTGTGTCAGCATCGTACCAATTGGAAGTCCATAGTCTCTGCCTACGTCTCTGGGTGACAGGCGTGAGTGTTTATGTATATGTTGTGTTATGTAATATAATGGATTTCCGCAAAGTAACACCTGATTCTTTTGATTATCTCTAAGATCAGTTAAACTGATTTTATGTTTACTAATAGGCTAGTGGTCACATGTAAATTTCAATCAGATATTAACTGTTTATTTTTTAAATATTATTATAAATATTATTGTTTTATGTTACACAATATATTTATAACAGCATAATATTTATTCAGCAGTGGACTGTTGAACATAGGGTTCCCCATAGATTGCCTTGTGAGGAAATATATGCTATAGTTGCTATATAGGCATGTTGGCATCTGTAGCTTTCATTATTTTGATTTGTTCTCAGAACGATGTCGGTGCCAATCTCCTATTTTATTTCCCTCTGTCACCTCTTACAACTACGGAATGATATGGGGTAGTGGAATCTTTTACTTTTTTATTTAGCGACATTTTTATTCATAGACTAGCTGTTTCCCGCGACTTCGCCCGCGTGTAATTTAGGGTTTTAATTTTACAGCGCGGAACCCTAATTCTTTTTCTTAAATATAAGCAGCTATCTGCCATTGACAGTCCCGTCACAATCGGTCCAGCCGTTTCGGAGATTAGCCGGAACAAACAGACAGACAGACAGACGGAGAGACAGACAAAAATTTTAAAAATTGTGTCTTTGTTATAAGAACAGTATATACTTTTATATATATTTAGTAAAAAGCTGTTATTTTGATATTACAAACAGACACTTCAATTTTATTTATTTGTATAGATTGTGCACAAAATTATCTGTTAACGCAATCTTTTCAGTATGAGAACATGCTGGCAGCGATGAGGGAAGAGACAAAAACATTAGTTCAACAGCATTTAGTGGAAGTTAGTAATTTGAAAGCAAAAATATCTTATGAAATACAGGAGAGGGAGAAAGAGAGAGCTGATCATGCTGCTATGATGAAGTGAGTGCTTTCATGTTTTATTCTTTTTAGTTGTAAGCTATATTTTTTGTTTTAAGAAATAAAGGTGACACACTACCATACAGTCAACCTGATGATATAGATGCTGTTGACCAGATAGATTTATTCTCAATTAAGAATCAAAATGCATATGTGTTGTAAGCTCTGGCGACTAAGCAATATGCTGCTGTTTTTTGTTAGTATTCTGTGATAGTGTTGTCCTTGCCTGGTTGGGCCAACCCGTTGTTCTACAGTCATAATACAGCTTGTGTAAGAATACATCATGATTGATACTTGTTTTTCTTAGGATAGGTCTCTATAAGAAATTGAGAAATAAAAGCGGGTAGGTATTAAAAAATTGGTTTCTATAATTACAAAAAGTTTGGTTTTCCCTTACGAGCCCTTTTGCAGTGCAGAAAGTGTAACACATATTCATAACAACATAAATCAAAGAGTTGTTTAATTTTTAGTCATATTGAGTTGCCGGGCGCAGTTTTTAGTAAAAACTTTTTTACACGCACTTCGGATATGATAAAACGGATCGTAATAAAGAACGAAACATTTCTTGAATATAGGAATCGACTGCCGTGCCCCCAGATTGAACATTAGCCGACTTAATTTTAAAAAAAATTCTTAATTCGAGTGTATGTTATTTTTTACACGTTTGTTACACAATATCTTCGTTAATTGTGAACCGATTTTGATGATTATTTTTTTGATGAAATAGGTTATACTTCAGCGGTTGTCCCATATAAATATGGAGACAAAATTCCATCACTTATGGTGGAAAAATTGTGGAAGAAATTTTGATGTAACTATTTAGACACCATTCAGATTGCGATATGAATAAAAAATGTTATTTTTTAAATTAAAAGCCTCCTTTCAAGGAACTAAAATGAATAAAAGAACAATATGTCTTAGCTTTTTTAAAAGTTTACTGGATTATAAATAAATGCTAATGAATACAAAGTGTTTTCCGATGGAGCCTTTGTCTGTATTATTTAAATAAAATTATTAAATAATTTCCCAGAGAGCTACACGTGAAGTTGACATCTGAGAGGAAAACAAAAGAGAAACTGGAGGACAAAATTGTGCACTCTACAGAATCACAAGGTACTGTGGTTTTTAACTTTCGGTCATTCTCATATGAAGGTGTATGGGGCCTTCCAATGCATAAAGTTTGGCTAAAGGGCTTTGAAATATATTTAAAATATATAACCTTTTCGACGACCCTTCATATAAAAATCATTAAATTCGTAATAAAAAAAATATTGAGTGTCACTTATGAGGATAAAAACTATCCTATCTTTCAAGTTGGACCAAACTGCACAGAGTGTGCAAATTTCATTGAAATCAGTTCAGTAGTTTATGAGTTCATCGCGGACAAACAATGTGACGCGTAATGTTTATATGTAAAGATAGCTTCTATAATTAACATTTAGATAGATGCTGGATAGCCTCCGGTGACGAGGGGCATCACCACGGGTGCAGTACCAGAGTGCTCCGACTGTCAATTCGTCTCCGAAGTGTGGCGATTATGGCAACTCTTCCCTAAAAAGGGGGAGGCCTGTGTCCTACAGTAGGTTTTTTTTATAGGAAAGGGGCAAACGAGCATGCGGCTCACCTGATGGTAAGTGACTACCGCCGCCCATGAACAACTGCAACACCAGGGAGGGAATTGCAGATGCGTTGCCGGCCTTTTAAAAAGGAGTACGCTCTTTTCTTGAAGGTCCCTAAGTCGTATCGGTCCGGAAAAATCGCTGATGTAATCGATTCCACAAGGAAGTCGTGCGAGGAAGAAAACATCTTCTAAATCGCACAGTGGTGGACCGCCAATCATCCAGATGGTGTGGATGGTATCGGGAGTTGTGCCGCGATGTGCGTTCGTGAAATTTGGTGGCTGGGATTAATCCGAACAATTCCTTAGAGCACTCCCCATGGTAGATGCGAAAGAAAATGCAAAGGGATGCAACATCTCTTCGCAGTGCCAATGAATCGAGCCGATTGGAAAGGGCTCGGTCGTCGACGATTCGAGCCGCTCTGCGTTGGATGCGGTCAAGTGGAAGGAGCTGGCACTGCAGAGCCCCTGGCCAGAGATGGGAACAGTATTCCATGTGAGGCCGAACCTGCGCCTTGTAAAGTTGCAGGCGGTGTGCCGGCATGAAATACTGTCCCGCTCTGCTGAGCACGCCAAGCTTTTTAGAGGCCAATTTGGCCTTCTCTTCCAAGTGACCACGAAACTGCACGTCATACTGATACTGGCTGAGGCAAGAAGGGGAGTGCCTTGAAACTGAGGAGATACGACAAAGGGGTTCTTTTTAGCGGTAAACGCGCAAACTTGTGTCTTCTGAGGATTAAACTGGACTAGATTTAGTCGCCCCCAATCCGAGACTTTGTTCAGCAAAGACTCGACTTCAGACACAAGTTTGTTCCGGTACTCGGCGACGTTTTCCCGAGAAATATTGGCACGGCCGGTGCTGTCATCCGCATAGCAATGAATGTTACCAGTTAGCAACATATCAGTGATATGCAGAAGAAACAGCGTTGGTGATAGCACACAGCCTTGTGGAACACCAGCGTTAATAGGCTTGTAGTCAGAGCATGCACCGTCTACAACGATCTTGATGCTCCGATCTGCAAGGAAGCTTGTGATCCAATTGCACAATTTCTCGGGAAGCCCATAGGAAGGGAGCTTCGAAAGAAGCGCTTTGTGCCAAACCCGATCGAAGGCCTTTGCAATGTCCAGACTAACGGCCAACGCCTCCTCCTTGGACTCTTCTGCCTCCGCCCATCTATGGGTCAGGTAGACCAGAAGATCACCAGCTGATCGACCCCGACGAAAACCGTATTGGTGGTCACTAATCAGCTGGTGATCCTCAAGGTACCGGATGAGCTGGCAGTTAATAATTGATACCATTATTTTGGAGAACAAGGAGGTGATCGCGATAGGCCTATAGTTGGATGGGTCTGAGCGGTCGCCTTTTTTAGGGATCGGGTGGACAAAAGCTGTCTTCCATGAATTCGGGACTACGTCTTGGGAGTAGGAGTACTAGGAAAAGACGCGTTAGGACCGGTGCCAACTCTGGAGCACACGTCCACAGCACAATTAGGGGGATTCCGTCAGGCCCACTCGACTTCTGGATGTCCAGGGAGAGCAGTGCTTTGCGAACCGAGCGCTGTGAGAACAGCACATCCGGCATAGAGCACTCACACCGCGGGATGGTCGGCGGTGTTTTCCCCCCGTTATCAAGAGTCGAGTTGGACGCAAAAAGGGAGCCTAAAAGGTCGGCTTTGTCTTTTGCGCCTTGGGCCAGTGAGTCATCCTCCCTGTGCAGAGATGGTAGTGTTGGCTTACAGAAATTCCCTTGGACAGCCTCGGCGAGAGACCAGAATGCACGGGTTCCCGAAGGAAGGCGAACACTAGTTTCTCGCCAATTCTGTCTATGTGCTCTGACTTTGCCTTGGCAATAACTCTTTTGAAGGACCTGGAGGCGAAGTTATACTTCTTTTTAAGTGTGCTGGTGTTTACATCCCGAGTCGCCGAAGCCGCAGCCCAGGCTTGATAACACTCCTGCTTACTGCGTAATGCAGTCTTACAGGAGCAACCAAACAAAGGCTGAGATCTGCCTCCGATGGGTACCACAGATGATGGAATAAATAGTTCCATTCCCTGTAGCACCACATCTGTGACAGAGTCAGCAACAGCGTTGGGATCATCCGGCGAGAAGCAAACCCGCCCCCATGGGTAGGATGCAAAGAAAGACCGCATTCCGTCCCAATCCGCCGACCTGTAATGCCAAATACGGCGGCAACCTGCAGAACGCAACCGCGAAGGGAGCGTGAGTGGCACCATACTCCGGATCAGACAATGGTCCGAAGAGCCGAGAGGGGCATCGACGGAAACCTGATATCCGTCCGGATGAGAGGTCAGCAGAAGGTCCAACAGGGAAGGTGTATGATCCTCCACATCTGGAATCCGCGTAGGCGAAGTAATCAGTTGTGTCATACCATATGCCAAGGCAAAGTCATAAACAGATCTCCCCGCATGATCGGTTAAACCTGAACCGAGCCATTGGGTATGGTGGGCGTTAAAATCGCCAAGGATCACGATCTCTGTGGATGGGACCTGTTGTAGCAAGGAATCTGTACCCATTTGGACGTGGTCGATGAGTCGGTCTGTTTCGGCATTACCGCTATAGGACCTATAGAGGCACCCGTAGACGCGCGGATGGTCGTCGCTGTCTACGTGTAGCCAAAGGATGGACAGGTCCGAACCTTCAAGACTGCCGAGGCGTCGAGAACAGATGTCCTCTCTGACATACACGCAAAATCCAGCCCGAGGCACAAAGGAGTACTCCAATTTGTACCCCGGGTAGGAGAGATACGGAATATCAGCCGGAGAGGAAACCTGCGTCTCGGCCAGAAAGAGCAAGGCCGGCTTCGCCGTCTCGAGATGGTAGTGGACGGCGTTTAGGTTAGAGTGAAGTCCCCTGATGTTGCAGAAATTCACGGATAGCGTGGCAGGGGTCACCTTGGTATTGTTACTCAGTTTGCCCCGAGCAGTTAATATGTGTTTGAGCGGAATTTTGCCCCCCCCCCCAGAATACGCGGGGCTGAGCACCCACGCTCAGGATTGGAATAACATGGTCGTGGATGCTCAGTGAGGGATTCTCCAGGGGTACTGGTACCCTCTTGGGGTAGTCTATCGTGTAATTCCGCTACCATGTTGAGGGGGGGGGGGAAATTGGGCCTCCGGCCACCTGCACTCACAAGACGAAACGCAGAAGCAGAGCTTCTATTTCACGCCGGTATTCTGTGAGGTCGTGGTACCAACCCGGCTCGAGCCGGCCCATACGTGCAACAGTAAAAACTGCTGCGTGGCTCTACCAACGTTAAACCCGTTGGTTTTTACAGGCTGTTGATGATGATAATATAAATATAGTTTTAGCCATGTGGTTTTTTTTATAGTATAGGGTGACAAACGAGGACACAGTCCACCTGATAGTAAGTGATTGCTGTGACCCATACACATCTACATCTATCTTCGATTATGAATCAAAATGCAGAAGCGTTGTCACTTCTGAGGACTAAGATGGAATGCCTCGTTTCCAGTAAAAAGGATCTCCAGTTCTCTATACTCACCATACGAAACACACCAGCACTACGTTGCTATATTACGCTGGTATTCAATGGTTCAAATTAATGGTGGCATAAGAGCCTCCATCTCGTCCTGTGGGTGTCGTTGGAGACGTAAGATCGCTTCTATACATGGTTAAATGAAAATAATCTTCACCAAGGTTTACCTGGAAGAGATCGCTGTGTAGCGATAAGGCCACCTAATTATACGAGGGTGGATTGAAAAGTACTCGGCCTAACACAGATCCATTCAATTCTAAAAATCAAATCTACCCACATTATTTAGTTCAGTTCAGACTAGTTCATTGTGTGAATTTCGAAACGTGTGCGATAATTAGTTGTGATTTTATAAATTTATTAACAAAGTAATCGGACATAATTTCCGCGAATGGAGCAAATCGAGCAGCGTGCCGTCATTAAGTACCTCCATAAGAAGGGGCTATCATCAAAAGCCATCCATGATGACATGGTCAGTACATTAGGCGATTGTGCTCTGTCATATTCATCCGTCAAAAAATGGATAGCAGAATTTAAGCGTGGTAGAGAGAGTGTGAAAGATGAACCCCGCTCTGGAAGGCCTTCGACGTCAACTACTGACGAAAATATTAAAAAAGTACTTGATTTAATAATAGGAGACCGCAGATTAAAAATTAGAGAGATAGCCGAGATTATAGGCATCTCTTATGAACGAACTCAAAACATCATTGTCAACGAGTTGGGTTTCCACAAGGTGTCTGCGAGGTGGGTTCCGCGACTGCTTTCAGTTGAACAATAAAGGACGCGATTGACTATTTCACGCGACTGTTTGGAGTTATTTGAAGCCGATGCAGATGATTTTTTGAATCGTTTTGTTACTATGGACGAAACATGGGTTCATTACTGTACACCGGAAACAAAACAACAATCAAAACAGTGAAGAAGACCTGGTTCACCACGCCCTAAAAAGGCTAAGTCGATTTTGTCGGCAAATAAGGTGATGGCTTCAGTATTCTGGGACTCGAAAGGTGTGATAATGATTGATTATCTTGAAAGGGGTCAGAATATAAACTCTGATTACTACTGCACCTTACTACGTCGTTTACGAGAGGAAATAAAAGAAAAACGTCGAGGAATGCTCAGAAGAAAAGTCCTGTTTCATCAAGATAACGCCCGTGTTCACACGTCAGTACAGTCAATGGCTGAAATTCACAACTGTGGCTTTGAACTGTTACCGCATCCGCCGTATTCACCTGATCTGGCACCATCAGACTTCTTTCTGTTCCCTAACCTAAAAAAACACTTGGGAGGTCAAAGATTTTCGACAAACGACGAGGTCAAAGCAGCTGTAGACGCATATTTTGACTCTAAGGAAGAATCATCTTTTTTCAACGGTCTAAATGCTTGGAAGGGGAGGTGGCAAAAGTGTATTGAACTTGATGGTGATTATGTAGAAAAATAAAAATATAACTGATTTAGTATGTGTTTATTTTCTTGGTTAGGCCGAGTACTTTTCAATCCACCCTCGTACATGTATATTATGAAAATTAAAGTTTTGTATGTGTTTTAACCAAACATAAAAATGGAGGAAACTAGCGGAGGTACTTGGTTCGACTGTATTTTTATGTGTGTTACCTCAGAACTTTTTTCTAGGTAAACCAATTTTAATTATAATTTTTTTGTTTAAAAACTAGTACTTCTCATGTGGTATAAATTATATAAATTTGGTCAAGATCTGACTAGTAGTTTTTGAGTTATCCTTAATAATGTGTATTTAATTGACTGCAACTATATTGATGATGTTCTCATTTTATTTTTGAAGTCGTATCGAAGTGTACAATACTGTTAACTCATGGCGGCCAAAATGACTACAAAAAAACCTGGTTTTTTTATTTAGATTTCTAAACCGAATTCTCGATTATTTTTACCTTTCGTCCCAATATTTGACCTACTGGACTTGACAACACTTATACACATTTATAGCGAAAGGTGCTAGCACGCGTATCTTGAAAATCTGCAGGTGTAAACAAAGCCCTACTAGGAATCACAGGTGTTGCCAGTCATTTTATTTCTTTTATTGTTAAAAAAATGTTGCAAATAACTTAAAGTAAAAGAACATTTTTATTTTTAAATTAATATGTAGTATAATATGTAACTGTAATGTCATAATTTGTATTAAACTGTAACTATTTTATCTATACTAATATAATAAAGCGGAAGACTTTTTTGTTTTTTTGTTTGTTTAAACGCGCTAATCTCTGGAACTACCAGTCCGATTTGAAAAATTCTTTTTGTATATTATAGCCAGATTCATGTGAAATAGTATAGGCTATCTAGCATTAAGCTATATCACTCAGCTAGCCTTAAATTTGGATATTTGTTAAGCAAGTCAGAAGAAAAAGCACTCCCGAAATGATTTATCCGCGTCCTGTTATCGTTAGGGATAAGTAAATACAATGTTCTAGAAAAATATAGATCTTTACTTCGTCTAAAAAAAAGTCCGCGATACCATATGTTTCTTATACATGAGCCATAATTAGGTATTTTGTGACAAAAAAATATTGAAAATTTAATAGAGATTTACGAGCGTTAAGTAAGTTAAGCGTAAGTGCCTAATAGGCATGGCCTATTTATCCTTACGAACGAAAATTACTTCATCATCAAGACAATTTTATGAAGATAAACTTTGTTCTTTATACCACGTTATTTGGACGCATAGTTTAAGAGGTAATGTAAAATTAAAATAATTCAATACTTGGCTGGGCGCGCGAACGACGCATAAACCCTAGCCGCCCGGTGAGAACGTGAGGGAGGGGGGGGGAGGAGGATGCTCAACCGGGAGGGGTAGGGAAAGTGGATAAAACTTACCTTCACTCTACATCATACATAATATGCCGACAGATAAAAGTACTCCATTAATTATGCCAATTTTTCCATCCATTGCTATCAAATAAAATATTTAATTGCAATTATAAAATGTTTGAACTAGTTCATGTCGTGCACCACCGACACATGATGACGCGGGTGAAACTGCGGGGCACAGCTAGTTTATTTATAAAGAAATATATATATTTCGGTTATAATTTTTTTATTGCTAATCTATAATTTTTTTAATGCTTTGCTTTGTGTTTCGTTAATCGCCTTTTTTAAATCGATTTAACATTGTTCCATCTCTAGAAACGCTAACACTAGACGAAGGTTTATCGACCAAATTAGCAATATATTGAAAATGGACCAGATTAGGCCTTAATGCGGGACGAGCATGTATGCGTTGATATATGGATGTAAAGGAGGCGAGAGAGGTGTGTCAGGATCGTACCAAACGGAAGTCCGCCCTAGTCTCTGCCTACGCCTCTGGGTGACTAGTGTGAGTGTATGTATGCAAATTTCAGTATCCCAAGCGGAATTGGAGAAACGAGTGCGTGATCTGAGCAGCTCTCTCGAGGCTTCACAGAGAAGGCTACAGCGTGCCGAAGCCCGAACAGTGGAGACCCCTGCGTTACTTGTTCGCTTGCAACAGAAGCTGGCTTTGCTGGAACAATCTCACTCTATTGCTATTAGAGAGGTAAGGTGCAGTCTTCCGTAATTCTTGGATGGCTGAGTGGTACCATATTTTATTTACTTATTTTTTGTAAGCTTACACAAGTATTTTATTTAGATTTATCATAAAAATTTATAATATTATTTCAAAAATATAGTGTAACAATCAAATAAAAAATAAAAAAAATTATAAGGAAATTTTGTTAAAAAAGCTTACTATGAAATAGATTGTTGTATTGAGGACAATTATGTACGGTAAAATATTTTTTTTTGTTATAAGTTGTAACAATTGTAAATCACGGCTTTTAAATAAAAAGCCGACCAAATGCGAGTCGGACTAACGCTTGAAGGGTTCCGTACCAACGTAAAACACGTTTCTAGTAGGGGAGGCCCCTTTAATTTTCAATTTATTTTTATTATTTTTTGTTCTAGCGGCAACAGAAATACATATTCTGTGAAAATTTCAACTGTCTAACTATTACGGATTTTGAGATATAGCCCGTTGACAGATAGACGGACGGACGGACAGCGGAAGCTTAGTAACAGGGTTCCGTTGATTACTCTCTGGGTACGGAACCCTAAAAAGTCGCCAGAGTTGCTTACTGGTTATTCTTTGATAAGAACTGGTTTAAGCGTACCGGTGTAGATTTCGACACCCATAAGTACTTCAAACCAACCGTGAGACAAATAGGTTCATCATAATTTTTTATTAGACTTTTCTTGATAAATACGTATTGCAAAATTTTACAAAAGCATCACTTTTATTCCTTAGTGTTTCATCTTAATATTACTGTGCTTTTCAATACGAATTAGTGCAGTTTAAAAATAATGAACCAGATAAGAGCGGGTAGCCCGACCTTTTTAAGTCGACAGTAAAGCCCAACATCTCTTCGCGTTCAAGGTGTTCAAAAATGGTGTTGAGAATTTTAAATTTAGAACTCCAAGACTCCAAGTAATGTACTTTCATCTAACTTTACAAAGGACAATGTCCAAAACCGCCCTGTGTAATAAAAGCATCGGACATACACGATAATTAATTTTCTATTTTATTATATTAGTTGCAAATACTTTTATAACACGGACTAGCTGCATGCAAAAATGAACATTAAAAAGTATTATATTCGACTAATAACATTAATCGCCGCCATCTTCGCCAAACATCATGTGGTGTCGAAAAATGATTAGGGATGCCCAATCGATTGTAATCGATTATTGAATTTTTAATAAACTGTTGTATATTTTTTAATCTGAATTACATTTTAATTTATTTCGAATAAAGTTGCAAAAAAAAGTTACAATAAAAATATCATATTACCATTTCTTTATATTCTTTTATATTATTCCCTACAAGTATAATATTAAAAACCTACTATACCTATTGAATGTCATACTCGATTTTGAATAGGTTGTTAGAATAATGCTGAAGAAAAATACTCGTAAAGATAATTATTCAGGATTTTCTAATGAGGAATAGAGGATTTTCTGTCTAAACAGGAATATATTTTACCTCTTACTAAACGATAACTTACGAGTTTTCGATGATTAATTTAAAAAAAAAAACAGTTATCGTTACTGCATTAATGATAAATGTGTTTTTTTAAAAAGAGCAATATTGCAGACTAGATACAGATATTATTATTAATATTGTTACAAGTATGGAAGAAGTAAATACGTACGTGTTATTATAAGTAAAGTAGGACAGTGTTATGGTATTAATATTATCGTATGACAAAAGATGATATATACTATATAGATGGTATACTGTTTGTAACGTACGGCTATAATAAATCTTAGGAAATATTCATTAGTCGTATCGTATTTGGCGCTCCTATTTTTGATGTCACTAAATGGTCACTTGTCAGTCTCTCATGAAAAAAATACGATCTCCAAATTGATGCAAATCGAACATACTAGAATCGATTCTCGATTAAATCAACATGCCTAATATAGACACAGAACATTACGCTAGTATTTTCCAGAAGGAGTAGGTAGAGATGTGTAAGTACTGTTATGTTATACATCCCATGTAATAGGGGATGCGCGTATTGCCAAACACCGGACACAAATCCAGACTCCGTGCTACTTTTCGTGCTAGTTTTTCTGTCTGTCACAAGGAATAGATGTTCCAACTATGCAAAAGTATTTCTTGAATCGTTTGAAATATAGCTAGTTCTTGAATAAGTCCGATTCGAGAGGTTTCTGTATCGACATCGGAAAAGGATTCTTCAGATCTATATCGATCTGGAAAATCGATTCTGTTACTATAAACAATCGATTAAGCGATTTCAAATGGACATGCCTACTTTGTACCGTCATCTCTAATTCTGTCAAAGTTACATTGGTTGGCGTCGTTTGCAATTGTAATTGTCTTTGTACATAATTGTATCGGTGTTGTGGTGACTTTCGGGACTATATATTGAACATTACGACTTGGCTATTTTAACGGAATCTGATTGCTTTCAAGAACGACTTAGCTTGCTGTGATTTTCGGAACTGTGTACCGGTCAAACGATAACCTAGCATTCATAAACGGACTTACGCATACGCAATGGGAAGTGTATTTTGTGTAAATAGCGGCTTTGCTGGTGGTACAATATTGTTTAAAGATGAACAGAGAAGCAATCGTGCAATATTGCTGTAATTGCATCGTTGTACGCAGAAACAACGGTTGCTGCGCCCATGTTATGACAATTATTTGGTACTTGAGCTTTACGAGACATTAAAATAATATCGACATCCCTGCACAGTTTTTAGACAATATTCTTATTTCCAATTTAGAAAATGAACAATAAACATGAAATTAATCTGTGTTTTATTTCTAATTCAAACATAATAAGTTAATGTACGTGTAAAAACAACTTATACTACCAATTAGGTACTAAGTAGGTAGGGCTGGTTTCATAGTCACGCGTTTGAACTGCGGCGTCCAGACGCACACGCTTGCAAATGTACTAGATAGTAGTCTATAATATTCACGCTGTTCATGCGCGCGCTGTTGAAACTTGGTTGAAACCGTGGTTGATACGCTCGCTGTTCGACGGCATGTCTAGCGGCGTGACTGACAGCCTAAATCCTTATACATTTAGGTACTAGGTATCTTACCGTACTGTATATGCTAATGACCTAAGCTAATGACAACATCTAAATGCTAACAGCCATATACATATATTTTTATTTTTACATTAATACACACAAACATTATCTCTCATTTCAAAACCAATGCTCAGAAAGCAGGTTTGTTAACTACATTCTATGCATTTATACGTTGCACTTACATACACTTAGGCTTTAGAACAAAAATTGCATACCTAATTATGTAGACAGGTACTAAAAATAGCTAAATGTTTTAGGACATCGTTTTTCAGTTTGTTAAAAATCACTCAGATCTATGAAAAACCGTAATATTCGTGTTTCGATTATAACCTCAAAATCTGATACTTTTTTTGGAATATATCTATTATGCAGCTAGTCCGCTATAAAAATAAGATCAAATAGTAATTTACTAATGATCAACAATAAAATATATAATTTTCCGATGCTTTTGGTTCCAGGGCGAACAATGTATGGACGCAGAGCAATGTCCTTTAAAGTTCTTCAGTAATTATTCAAACTACTTATAAAAACAACAGAAAATGTGGTGCAAATGGGGTCTGCTCGACCGGGGAAGGAACACAACACAGGAACACAAACTCTCACAGAATACCAGCGTAAAATGGCAGCTTAATGCTGGTGAGTGTAGAGAACCGGATATCCTTTTTACTGGAAGCGATTCACCCCTGAGTATTGTCACTTTGGATTCCTAGTTGAGGATATGTATATGGGCCACAGTATACCCTTAACATCAGACGGACTGTATGCTCGTCACCCTTCTTCAATAAAAAAATGTCTACTCTAAGGTTTTGTATACGTTACTTACATTTACATGTGACCAAATGCCCTTTTTACTGGTATTGAGTCAACTTGATTTTTAATAGAGAATAGAAGTTGGAGTCTGTGCACCAGTATCCATGTTCGTCACCCCTGTGTTAAAAAAAACTTGAAGGTTTATTATTTCAGGAGCAAATAAAAGCAAAACGTGCAGAGGAATCTGCTCGCAAAATATGCGCTCGCCAAGAAGAGAGGGTGGCTCTGCTAGAAGGAAAGTTAGCCGAACTGTCTCAGACTATAGGCGAATACGATTTGCGAAGGAGGAGAGACCAGCAGACCATACAGCAGTTGAAGGAGTCTCTCAATGGCAGTCTTCTGGATAAGATAGCGAGCAAACGCGGTAAGTGACAACAGATAATGTCACAAGTAGAGCCTAGTCCATCCATTCATTAAAGCTATAAGGGATCTATCAGACAGAAGGCGTTCACGCGTTCAAGCGTTCCGCGATCGCGTTCTGAGTTTGTTGTGTTGTATTACGTTAAGGTAGCAGTACATGTTGGCCCAACGCACTTGGCGAGCGCGTTCGGCCAACGTGTACTGGGCCGTTTTATGTGTATTTGGCGTTTGCAGCCAACACTCGCCGACAAGCCAAAAGAAATTTGGCACAAATCAAAGAAATTTGGCGCCAGCCGCAAATAGCGATCACACGTTGGCCGATTGTTCAGTTCATAGTAGTTACGCTTTACTGCTTAATAAAATTATTTCACGAACATGGCGACATCGCTTAATGAGGAAATATTTAGGTTCATTGATTCTTATCACAATGAATCAGTTATATGGAACCCCAAACATGAGCAACAGAAAAATAAGGCCGCGATCACTAACGTCCATCATCATCTAGCTACCAACGCAGAATGAAACACGCCAACGTGTGAATGGCACCACAAACTACTGTCGAGCGGGCTCGACAAGCGCGCTCGTCCAACGTGTACTGGAGCCTTTACATAGACATACCCAGACAGCAGGCGTTCTGACCGCGTCGGTCAACCAGAACGTACGCGTTCGCGTGTTCACTGCTGTTTCGGTGTCCACATCGGAAGGAAGATGGAGATCAAGAAGTTGATTATGTTAGTACAAGAAAGGTGTTTTTTATATGATGTGAAGAATGATGCTTATAAAAACCGCGGAAAAGTAGCTGAAGCATGGTTAGAAATTGCCAGAGAATGGGGACCGAAAATGAATTATAAAAAATTTCTTCATCTGTAAGTCATTTACAAAACAGTCTATGAATTTCTGCATCTTGTTCTCTATTCTTATGTACTTGGCGCATCCAATGTTTCTTTTTCCGTTTTGATGCTGCTAATGTCTACAATATCAATAATTCGCTTTCCCTGAAGAACTATAGTCAAAAAACATGGTGCCTGTAGTGGCACCGTATAGACCAGCGTGTAGAAAAGCGGGTTTTGTGGGCAACTGACCGCTTCATGTCTGGTAGAACCCTAAAAGTCTACTGCTGAACATAGACCTCCCCATAAATTGACTCATAGTATTTTGCGAAAGTTGCCGTTGGACAGGCGGATAGGCAACTACAGCTTTTCTATGTTTCTATTTATGAGTTGTCAGGAAAGTACTGCTGTCCATCTTCTGTTTCAGTTTTCCTCTGAATATATGCTACATGTTGGCCAAGGAATCTATTATTATTATTTATTATTTTTTTAAAAACGTTACCCCCCACACAAGGATTTTCTTCTGTATTGTGGAGGCAGTTTACAAACACAAATTGCACAAGGACAAACATCCAGGACCCGGAACAATTATTTGCAGGCCATACAAATACTTGTTCCGTGCGGGATTCGAACCCGTGGCCCCCAGCGTAGCAACTCATTGCTAAGCCACTGCGCCACGGAGCCGTCTAGAAGCTAAGAAAATAAAAGAGAAAAAAGAAGAGAATCTAGCTTTTATTGTTAAAACGTGGAATATAGAACTATTTAAGTAATCCTACACTTGAGAAATTCTTGTACATATTATCATCAGCGTTTTAATATAGCCCATCACAGGGTCACTGCTGAACATAGCACGGGTCTATGTATATTAAAGAATATTTGTCATGCTTGGTAGGTGTATTCGCCACCGCATTTGTTGAGTTGTTATAAGGAAGGAACTACTGATTTATCTCCTGTTGCATTTCCGGCTGTCGCCTCTTACAACACCCGTGGGATGAGGGTAGTGGATTCTCTTACGCCGCAAAAACAGCAGCATTATGGTGTCAACCCACATTGGTATTCTGTGGTGTGCGTTGCTATTCATGCTGTAGCTAAAGTATGTTGTAGCGTAGCATGGGGAGTAAAAGACTGTATGATTATTTAAGTTTTTAGTTTTATACTTATTATAAGCCAGTGCTTGACCACAATCCCACTGCTTGGTAAGTGGTGATGCAGCCCTAGATGGTAAATCGCACTGTCTTAGCGTAACAAAAGTCTATTCACTATTTCTTGCCTTGAAGACGCCCAGATTGTATTCGGACGGAAAGATAGACGTCGGCAAATTATTCCACTCCTTTGCTGTACGCATTACAAAAGACGATACAACGCTTTTGGTTCTAATGCGTGGAATATCGACAACAAAGTTTTTAGTTTTAGTTTTTTTGAAGTGAAACTTCTACGATACGTTGTTGTGATTTGAAACTCGACGAAACGAAAAAGCTTTTTTTTTATAGGAGAGGGGGCATACGAGCATGCGGCTCACCTGATGGTAAGTGACTACCGCCGCCCATGAACAACTGCAATACCGGAGGAACCAGGGGAATCACAGATACGTTGCCGGCCCCTTAAAAACGAGTAGGCTCTTTTCTTGAAGGTCCCTAAGTCGTATCGGTCCGGAAAAATCTCTGGTGGTAATCGATTCCACAAGGAAGCTGTGCGAGGAAGAAAACATCTTCTAAGCTACACTAAAAAGAGACAATCATATACATCTATAGGATTTAGCCTACGAGAGAATGAGATAAAAATATAGTATACAGTATTTTCTATTATCTCTGTCTCCTCTGTGCGGTGCTTTACAGGTGGTTAATATAATTTTTAACTTTTAAAATAAACAGTTAATAACTTTATTAAATAAATAAAATTAATCATATGGAATAAAATTATCATATCCAATCCATTCCTAATTTACCAATTTATATTAGTCGTGTTTAGGCCATCTAGCGTCAATTTTAAGTACCGCCTTGAATATAAATCACTTTTTGTTCGATAAAATGACTTAACCCATATAATGAAGTAGATGTCGCTATTACAAAGCAATTCCATTTGCAATTTTGTGAAGGTTTCACTTCTGCTGGGTGTGAACTGCACTCGTGTACTTTTGTTTCAGACGAAACCCAACAGAGGAGCGAGACAGACAACGAAAAGTTAGCCGACAGTGAATACCTGCAAACGTTAATAGACAAAATACATATCCTTAAAAAGGAGCTTATAGCGGAAAACGAGAAGCTTGGCAACCCCATAGACATAGCAACTGTTTTCACAGTAGACGGCTACGACAACATTCACGACAAATGTAGACAGGAATTGGAAAATTTGAAAATGGAATTCGACAGTTACAAAGCGCAGAACATGAAACGTGATAAAGAAGATGAAGTCGGCGAAGTGGATGATTTGAGGGTCGAGATAACTGTGCTGAAGGAGAAAGTGGAGACTTACAGACTGATGCTGGAAGAAGAGAAACAGGATAAAGAGGATACACTCAAGCTTTACGAAGAGGTAACTTTCCGTTTGGTGACGCTGTAAGAGTCACATTAATTCGTCACGTGGGTATCGTAAGAGGCGACTATTCGAAATGCCAGAAAATCTTATGGCTTACGACAGATTGTGTTTTTTTTTTATAGCATAAGTGTTACAAACGAGCATACAATATATGTCCATGGGCCACAACGGATGTTGTGGCCCATGAACATATATTTTTGTAAATCTCTACATAGTATAAAACAAAGTCGCTTCACGACGTCTGTGCGCTTAAATCTTTTAAGTTACGCACGGGATTTTGATGCGGTTTTCATTAATAGACAGAATGATTTAAGAGAAACTACTTTTTATAATTTATATGAATAATACATGCATATTATATACTAGCTGTTTCCCGCGACTTCGCCCGCGTGTAATTTAGGGTTTCAGTTGTGTTGCGCTGAACCCTACCTCTTTTTCTAAAATATCAGTAGCCTAAGTTACTCCTTATAACATCAGCTATTTGCCAGTGAAAGTCCCGTCGAAATCGGTCCAGCCGTTTCGGAGATTAGCCGTAATAAACAGACAGACAGACAGACAAAAATGTTAAAAATTGTGTTTTTGTTATAAGTACCGTATAGACTTTCATACGCATTTGGTAAAAAGCTGTTGTTTCGACATTAGAAACAGACACTTCGATTTTATTTATTTGTATAGATTATATAATTCTTCTCTCCGTGTGTATGTCACTGAACTCTTCCTGAACGGCTGGACCGATTTTGTTGTAATGTTGTGTGTGTGATTAAGTTGATTCGATAATGGTTTAGATTCACAATTGAACCCGGTAAGTGGCGTTGTTGTCGAGATCCAGAAATCAATCCAGACCCAGAAAGCCGGGGCGCCTACGGGCGTATACTATAAACTTGATACTGTCAAATTGAGTTTAGACTAAGTGGTCGTGCCGTTAGTTGTGATTACAGCATCGATGTCAAAGAGATAGTAAATAATAATAATATATGCGTAATTTTCCGAACAATTGCAGAAACTGAAAAACGAACGGGACTACCACAAGGAGGTGACCTCGGACCTCAAGACTAGGGTTCTTGGACTAGAGAAGCAAGTGCAAACACAGAGGGACAGATATGCGACACTACTGGAGGAAACCGACAACTACATACGCTCCAGGAACGAAAGGTCGCGGAAAGTTAGCACCGAGGAGGGTGTTTTGAAGGAGGGACACGGGATATTAACTGTAAGTGTCTGTGTTAGTTAACACTAAATAAATACTACAATCATAAGGCTTTGAGAGATGACTAAATATTCCTGCCGTTTGCTGTAGAAACTATGGGTCTGTGGGGTCCACGTACGGTGAAGTTGGCAAAGGAACTGTATCCGCGACTGTTCTGGCGCGGATACCGTGGCGATAAGAGGGCGATAAGAGGGCTGGTTCTTTTCTCGCTCAAAGCTATTCAGCGAGGAAACGCAGACAGCGTTCTTGGCACGATACCGCGGGGAGTAGGACTGTATGATAATTTAAGTTTTTGGTTTTAGTTTTATTATTATAGTTTTTTATATATTGCATATATTTCACTGTGAGTGTTTAGCTGTGTAATTATAATATTCATTTGAACTTTATGTGTAAATATCAAAAAAGCAACCTCATTTCTGATTGCTGTGAAGCGGTGCAGTTTTGGCTTATTCAAAAAAGGAGGAAGTACTCAATTAGACTGTTTTTTTTGTATAATATTATGTATATTAGATCTTCAATAATTGTTAACAGATTTTAATATTTTGTTTATTTCCCTTTTTATGAACCTCCCCAAAGGGTTGCAAGATAGGTCATAATTTTATTTAATGTTACTGTTGAGATGATATTATAGTTTTTATCTCAAGGTTGTTTGTATGTTTACTTCACCAGATTCACCACACTAGGTGAGACAACTAGTTCGATTCGTCAACTAACGCATCCCTGAGGGTTAGAATCCCCGTGTCCTAGGTTGTTGATGCTGATTAGATATTCAGAATCATAATGTCCACTTATAATTAAATATGAAACGGCATAGGTAGAAATTTCTGGAGAAGGTCGACCATGATGTATGATTGAGGATCTCAAGCATTTCTTGAGCTTTACACTCATGACTGCCACCAATAATTTGTGATCGCTTCCGCAGTCAGCTCCGGGGTACGTCTTTGTATTAATTATATTGGACCTCCATCGCTTTCCAATAGCAATATAATCAATTTGGTTTCTGGCACGATCACCTGGCATAACCCAAGTATATAGTCGCCGTGGGTGGTTCTGGAAACATGTATTCATGATGGTCAAAGAGTTTTCCGCGCAGAATTGCAACCACATCTCACCTCTATCGTTTCTCTCTCCGAGACCATGTTTCCCAACGACTTCTCTTAGGTGATCCTCATGTCTTGTCGATCCAACTTTTGCATTAAGATCTCCCATCAAAAGTGTGATCTCCCTTCTGGGCAGGCTCCTCAGAGTGTCCTCTCTTCAACAATCTGTAGAAGTCCTGGATCTCTCCTTCTGTTGAACTTGCTGTTGGGGCATACACAACCACCAGATTCAGATGGCAAGGTTTTGTGTTGACTTTCATGGTGATTATCCGATCACTCACCGAGTGGTATCCCAGCACAGATTTATTGATGTAAGGTGATACACAAATACCAACTCCATTTCTACTTTCATTTTCCAGTCCTGAAAAATATAGAGTGTAGCCTGATGGAATAGTGTAAAAGCCTGACCCTCTCTTGTGTGTTTCAGTTATTCCAAGAACGTCCAGTTGGTAATGTAATTTTTCTTTACCTATAATATCCACTTTCCATGTCCCGATCCTAATTTTCTTGCGAAGCTGAGGTTGTTTGGATTTGTTTGGTATGAATTGAGACGATATGTTGCATAGATGTAAGTGTCATCTGAGTTACACCATTCACTTACTATCAGATGTAATGTGTGTGTGTGCATGTCTTGTGTAAATAAATCATCGACATCATCATGATTACAGTCCTTTACAAGTCGACTGCTGAACATAGGCCTACCCCACGTATGCCAAAAAGCACGGTTCTGAACCACCTGCATCTATCGACTTCCTGCATCTCTTACCTAGTGCGAGACTGCCTTACACTTAGCTTACCGATACGAGGCTAAATAAAATGAATAAAACAAAAAAACATTGTTCCAGGACGGGTCGGCACCGCCGCATATGCTGCATTATGCGCACGAGTTGTCCAGAAAGGACCTAGACATTACGCAGCTCAGGAAAGAGAAACATATATTGGAGGGACATTATAGGTAATATAGTTAAAAGCAATGTAATAAATAGCATACAAAGATTTAAGCACTTGACATAAAATAGCATATTATGCTTCATAATTTAAATAACAGTGGGTCTAGTTTGCCTCCATTTTGTCTAGTCGTAGTTGTCAAACTAGGTTATCTCAACTTTAAACTATTCATCTCTTTGAAAAAGGATAATTTATCATAAAATTTTAAAGTAAGTGCACAGAGTAAAAATCTTGAGTGAATGTATGCTATAAAACAAATCTATATTTTGAAACAATGTTGTAACAATTGATACTACATGAAGTGCACATTACATTTCAAAGCAAGTTTTATTTTAACATTTGAAAAAAGTTTATTTCTTTGTTTAATTTGTGGAAAGTAAACACAAATAGCTATAATTATTTATTGTGACAGTTTCATAATGTTTCCAATGAAATTTGTTTGCTGACCCTACTCGATGGAGGGAAAGTTAGGCAACGACCGGTAACATATTTATATATTTTTATTTCATAGTAGAATAGGTCCACCAAATTTTTCTGTAATGGTCTGATCTCTTTCCTACCTTCCGACTACACATCCACATGAAAACATATTCACGTATAGAAAATTTACAAGCCCAATGGTAATGATGAATATCTCAATAAATTTGTATGTAGTACAGTCACGCTGCTGCTATATTATGGTTGCACTAAGTAACGTATTGGCTCGACCAGGGAAGGAATGCGCTACACTCACAGAATACAAGCGTAAAATATCATCTTTATGTTGTCTTTGTCTTTGTTTACTGGTAATGAGGTATTTCATCTTAGTTCTCAGGGGTAACGATTTGCATTTTGATTGTCAATCGAGGATAGTGTCTATTGCTCACAGAATATACTTACTATCAGGTGTACTGTGTGCTCGTTTGTCATCCGCACTTAAAATATATACTACTCGTGTGGATAAAAAATGGGATTAGAAATGGCGGCTCACTGAGCATGTACTGTCAGCATACATTGTACGTAAAGCGGTGCTTATGAAGTTACGTTGTTATATTAAAAATAACGGGTGTACTTATTATAACATTGTTAGTAGGTATATTGTTTTATAGTATTTGAAAAAAAAATAGTTATTGCAAAAAACAGATTAGTATATTGAAAACGATTGAATTATGTTCTTTAATTATTAACTCAATATTAATTAGGGATGTAAATTAATTAACAAATAATATTTATTTCTTGTAATTTATAAATTTAACTTCATATTACAAATTAATAGTGAGACTAAAAGTATATTAAGCATTTAATATGTTTTGTTAGCTACTCGGGCCTGAAATTAGAAGCACAAAATATGTTTATCGCAACGCATAAATTACGTTATCTTTTTGTGATTATTACCGGCGATGTTATTATAGGTATAGACATCGGCAGTGTGCAAGTGAGAGGTGAATAGATGAGACGTCGTTTATAATCCCATTCTTTATCTGCCCGAGTAATGTCTATCTGTGAGATATTCCCGGTCGAGCCGACATATTCGTTTTTTTTATAGGATAAGGGTGACAAACGAGCACACTGTCCACCTGATAGTAAGTCGTTGCTGTGACCCATAGACATATATCCTCGACTACGAATCAAAATGCAGATGCATTGTCAGCCGTAAGGACTGAGATAGAATGCCTCGTTTGCAGTAAAAGATTCTCGTTCTCTGCACTCGCCATACGAAACACAGCAGCGTTAAGCTGATATTTTACGCTGGTATCCCGTGAGAGCGCGGTCCTTCCCCGGTCGAACCGACCCATTCTTGCTACAACTATATTACTTATTAGTATTAACTATATTTAGCTGCAGCATGGTTCTACCATTTCACGCAGTTTTACGGATTTCGAAATTATTTTACATAAGTTTTACGGATTTCGAAGTTATTTTACATAAGTTTTACAGTTTTCTAAGTTATTTTACATACATTTTACGATTTTGTAGTAGTATAATTTTTCATTTAGCAAGCTTACCTAATTATGTTTATTTCAGAGATTGTCAGCGTGAGGCGACCATAGAGAAAGAGCGCTTCAAGGAAGTGATAAGAACATTAAAGGAGGAGATTGACAGGTTTGGATATTTTTTTTAAATAATTTCTTAGATTTTTCTTTCACAAACGAATCACGAACCCTTTTGGGGCTTTGTTGCAACCATGAATATCAACGGCTTTATTACTTAGTTTGTATTTAGTGCCAGACTTAAACTAAAATCTTTTTCACGAGAAAAGTCCAGCGGCAATATGCGCACTAAAATGTAATGTATGAAATTTGACAGTAAATGTCGAATTTCGTAAGAACTTTGGCGTGGCGTTTAAGGGACTTTAGTTAGGACTATTCTGAAGTCCGAAACTATCAAAACTACTAAACTATTAATTTATTACGTTTTAAAAAAATGAAATGGAATGAAAATGATTAAAATAGTACACATCGTCATATGACAAAAGGGACCATGTTACTTTTATTTAATGTGTGGTTAAAACTTAAAATATATTGCATAAAATGATACTTCTTTGAAAAAATCTAAATAAACACACAAAATCTTTAAAATAAAAATATCATCATTTGAAAAATTATTTGGATTGACACTCATGTCAATGCAAATACTTTAGATGAGTCTTTTGAAAGTGAACGTATTTAACCTCCCATATCCCGACATTGTATCGGACCAACTCCGTCAGACCTGTAGTCAGCCCAAGGTCAATAACTTTTTTTTCTCAAAACCAGGCCTTGTCAACTAATGTATGGAACTTTTGCGGCATTAATAACAGCGCCATTGAAAAATTTGTAGAGAATTACGTCTGCTTCGCAGGTCGATGTAGTACTTGACAAACCGTGTAGATGGCGCTGTTACAGAATTATTTTTTGTAGAGAAAAATCAACATAGTATTTTTAACATAATAGACAAAAACAATAGGGGAATACTCCCATTTTAGAGGTTTATCAACTAAATTGTATGTTTATTGTGTACTTTAAGGTAGAAATCTGGTAAAACACATCTTACAAATGAAATAATTCTGTAACAGCGCCATCTATACGGTATGTCAAGTACTACATCGACCTGCGAAACAGACTTAGTTCTAATAGTAAAGTAGCATAATGGCGGACGGTCGTCATTTGAAGTAAATTCTCTTAATTTATTTCTCGTATAATCTTAATTCTCGTAATTTAGTAACAAGACTACATCTAATAACATTTTTAGAATTTTAGTTGTATAATTCTTATAAATAACACTTAATAAAATTGTTCTGAGCACTCTTTTCTATGGTTCTGAGGGGTCTACAAATGTGGCATATGCTAATCCGATGTATCGGAGTCCACAGATTAAATGGTTCCCTATTTAAAAACGTCAACGTTTGTAGTAGTCAAATAAACCTTTTATTTAAATAACCTACCATGTTTTAAGACAACATATTTTGCCATGTTTCGAAATGTTATGAGATAATAATTTCTAGCAAACAAATAAATGAGTAATCACTCATATATCCTACATACTACACATTATTTATTTAAAAACTTAAATGTAACGCCTTAAGGTAAATGGTACATAGGGCGGACTTAATGCCATATGGCATTCTCTGCCAGTCAACCCTGGGTGCCAAATACAATTGTAGGCAGGTGCGAAACATAATACAAAGTGTACATATATTAAAATATAATTTATACATAATACATACATACACAACATATATTTAAATATTTTTTTTATAGGATAGGGTGACAAACGAGCACACAGTTCACCTGATGGTAAGTGGTTACTGTGACCCATAGACATCTACATTTATCCTCAATAAAGAATCAAAATGCAGATGCGTCGTCGTCACCCGTGAGGACTAACATGGAATGCCTCTTTTCCAGTAAAAAGGGTCACCGGTTCTCTACACTCTCCATACGAAACTTAGTAGTGTCAAGCTGCCATTTTACGCTGGTATTCTGTGAGAGCGTGGTCCTTCCCCGGTCGAGCTGACCCATTCGTGCTACAACTATACTATTAATATAGCTGCAGCATTGCTCTACCACATATAGAATATATTTACATACAATAATACAATAATACATGCATATTTGTAATGTGTATCCATGCTTATAAACTTTATAAATAAATATCCGTATTAATATATAAATAAATAAATATTAGAAGAAAAAAATGTCAGTTAGTAAGTGCCCTCAGGTAATGTTGTCGTAGAAGTAATTTAAAAGAGTTTTTTTTTGCATTCTTAATATCATTGGAGAGGGTGTTCCAAAGCTCTGTGTGCAGTCAGACTTAAATAATCTTAAGTTTGTAATACATAAACTTAATAATAACCTGGAAGCCATATAAATAAATCAAAGAATATCATAAAATACCTTAACCACCTGCATCCATAGACTTTTTGCATGTTTTACCAGGTCGTCACACCATCTAGTGGTGGATGCTCTATATATATCTTTATATATCCATACATATAATTGAAATTGTAGTGTATGTCTGTAATATTTAAATAACTGGCAAATATTAAGCTCACGGAGTTTTTGCATGCTTATAAGACATAAACAATTATTTTTAAAATTTTTGCCTATCTTCGGAATGGCTAAACCAATTTTTATGAAATTTTACCAACAGATCGAAAGTAATGCTAGGTGGGATATAGGCTATATTTTAACCGAAATAATTCAAACTTTGATCATCTTAAAGCTAAAAACGCTACATAAATACATCATAACCAAGCGAAGCCGGAGCGGGTCGCTAGTATTAAATAAAAATCTTGCAGCTAAAATGAAATTAACTCAATTACAACTACTTACGAGTAAAGTTAGCATTTTTTATTTTATTTTTTATTTTAATAATCAAGGAACAGCAAACAGCCACAAAATACAGTAATATCTAAAATACAATAACATGATGTATTCACAATGATGTAGCCTACAACGCTATCCACATATTACTTACAATGTTAAATTAAATTGTCGCGGATGCTGAATAAAACCATAATAACTAAAAACGTGCTTGAAAACGTAAAAACGTTTCACGTGGTAGAGCCATGCTGCAGCTATATTAGTAGTATAGTTGTAGCACGAATGGGTTGGCTCGACCGGGGAAGGACCACGCTCTCACAGAAAACCAGCGTAAAATAGCAGCTTAATACTGCTGTGTTTCGTATGGTGAGTGTAGAGAACCGGAGACCCTTTTTACTGGCAAAGAGGCATTCCATCTTAGTCCTCACGGGTGACAACGCATCTGCATCTTGAGCCTTTATTGAGGATAGATGTAGATGTCTATGGGTCACAGTAACCACTTACCATCAGGTGGACTGTGTGCTCGTTTGTCACCCTATCCTATAAAAAAAAAAAAAACTAAAAACTAAAAAACAAGGAGCCAAAATAATATTATTTTTACATTTTTGGTTTTTCAAATATAGATCTTTTAAAAGCAAGAACATTAGGTGTAAACAAGTCTATATTACCATCATTGAAAAACTCGTTAAAGGAATGCATCATACGGCGAACTGGCGCGCGCAACCCGGTATTTGTACGACATGTACTGACGGCGAACAAGTTACGAGTGCGCACAGCTCGTATATGAGCACTTCTACGAACTTGAATAGCTCAAGATATAACAAATGACTTCGTATTTCATACCATGAATTGTCCATTCATCGTTTTATAGACCAGTTACATTCATTTCAGGCTAAGACGCATTCAATCTCGGGAAGGCGCGAATCTTGAATACCTGAAGAACGTAGTGATGGCCTACCTCATGTCGACGGACTATGCGGGAAGGAAGCACATGTTGAACGCTATCGCAGCTGTCCTGCACTTCACTACTAGCGAGAGGAACTTGGTCCTTTCAACACTATGAAGAACTTTCCCATTACACTATAGGAAGAAAAAAAGGAAGAAAGAGACATTTATTGCGAACATGTCACACATATAATTACATCATTCAGTATCAAGTACCAGTATTAGTTACTTTGCGGTGGGACTTGCCAATTTTTGCCGCGAAGCACCAATACCACCAGATGCTATGTATAGCAAAGGAGTGGAATATTAATATGCTGACTGCTATGTGGGTGAAAACCAAGGAGGAATAGGCTGTTAAGCTAAAACAGTACGTTTTGTGATCTTCGGCTGCATCGTCACTTAATATCAGGCGGGATAGTAATCAAGCACATCATCAACATCATCATCATCAATACAACCTATCAAATATGCATAGGCATCCACCATAGAGTTTCATAGAGGGTGATATTTGCCATAGTTGCCACTCTTGGCAGGTGGGCTGGCAATAATAATAAATACGTTCACTTTTGTTCAAGAGTGATGCAGCGAGTATAATTGTAGGTTAAAAGGCATTCGATCTCAGTCCAAAAATATGACAACGAATCTATTGTTTGTTATTAAAGATGTTTGGCGGTCTTCATTTCCTGCAGAAGTCAATCACTGTCAGGTTGCAAGTTATAGTTAGTGGAAAGGAGTGGAGACCCATCCAGCGTTTGATTGTCTTATGGTTGAGAATGAAGGGAGGAATCAACTCGTGTAATTCCTGCATATATCCTCTAGAATACCGAGAGGCTGCTTGCTCTGCGCCTGTGCCCGAGAGTGACAAAATTGGTTCCAACCAAATCACGGCCTTACTCTTCTCTACTGATTCTGATGGGTTGCTTGGTTGATTTTCTGGACATTTCATTTGTGCCAATGTATCGTAAAACGGACCGAACCATAATTCCTAATTCCTGCCTAATTCACGTGTCTTGCATTCTGGCACGGCCATGCAGGATTTCCTTAATTGTTTTTTTCTTGTACATATTCATAAAAAAGTTATTTTGTAAATGGGCGAATTTGCCGCCATCGAAGTTACCTAACAACTGCATATTATACATAAACAATATGTAAAACTCGGTCGGATCCGAGAGGGTGTTTTTATTTTATGTATCATTTTATATGATTCTGTTTAAGTAATCTTTTAGGATAGTAAATAAAAATAATACCCCACAAATAATAAAATTAAACGTGGAAACTTACATGGCAATACATGCACGACGAGCGGCTGAGGGATAACAATACCGCGACACGTCCAAACCGTAATCGACGACAGTTGTTGCCAGATTTTAAAACTGCTGAATTTTAAGGAAATTTTAACAAAAAACATGTATTTTAAATAAAAATAACATTTTTGTATTTATTAATAATGTCTATATATATAATATTATATATATTATTTCAATATTCATTAATAATGTCATTCATTAAAATGTTATTTATATATTCATAATTAATATGAGGTCTTATTTTTTTTGCTAATTTATTGCGTTACAAGCTGTTTTTATAAATTGTATAAAAAAGTATTATCTAGCAGCACTGTCGTCGCGTGACACTTAATATATTGTAATTGTTTGTTTATACTTATTAAAACAAATCATTCCCTGAAGGCGAGTTTATGAGTGTTTGTAGTTTGTTTACATTCTTTATTTTGTTAATATGTGATTTGTAGTTCTTAAAATGTATTTATTGTGAAACAAAAAAATTACAATAATAATTTCGAATTGTTTAAGCAAGCCAAATTTCTTTTCTGATGACTTTGTCTGAAAGTTATAAAATTATATTTGTAGTTCTAAAAATGTATTTATTGTGAAACAAAAAAATTACAATAATACTTTCGAATTGTTTAAGCAAGCCAAATTTCTTTTCTGATGACTTTGTCTCTAAGTTACCAAATTATGATTTATGTATTTTTTTTCTTAAGATAACATGTTTGTTACTGTTCATTGCGAAATAAGTAAACACCTACTTTTATTATACCTTTATTATTATGTTATGATACTGAGGTATTTTTGTTGTTGTCAAAATGATAACGGTATTTTAGAATTAGAAGATGGTTGTGTTATTTTTATAATAATTGAACATTCCAATATTAAATATATTTTATGTATATCATGGTTTTATTTCACCTTTGATTTTATTTGGATTATAATCATTGCTTATTCGTTATTGGAAAAAGAGCATTCTCAGTCTAAAAGTAGGTTAGGATTGGTACTCATCCTACCGATTTCATTTCCAAGCGTTAGCTTTAAGTCCATTGCTGAACAAAGGCCCCTCCCATAGATTGCCTCATAGGGAGGATATTTGCCATAGTTGCCACGCTTGGCAGGCATGATTTCGTCAGATTTTTTTAGTTGTTATTAAGAAGACGCTGCTGCTCGTCTGCTGATAGGTTTCCCTTCATCGATACTTACGACACCCACGGGACGACATGGGGTAGTGAATATTCTTACACCGCCACTACACGGTTTCCGCTAATAATATATAATATAGTAGAGACTATACTAAGTAAATAATAATGCGGTTGCCAACCCGCCTACCATTTAACACAAATGGAACGTAAATAATGTAACACAGTAAGCAGTTAATAGTAAATACAAGCTAACAAAAGAAATGTGCAAACAAACAGCAATACTGCCTGCCTATCACGATATATATAGATATTAGATAATATATACATTTATATTTATTTTTATATAGATTACATTTACCAAAGTCCTCTCACATTTCTCTTAGTAGCCTGCGCGGTACTTTTCAGTGCTGGAACGGATGGGAAATTAAAGTTATACCCTCGCTTCCTCGTATATTCTTTTATTTTCTACCCTCATTCGTAACATATATATATATACGAAACTATATAGTATACGAAACTAAAAGGTATTGGGTTCAAATCCATCATTCGACTACTGTCATAAACCTCTTAACACAAGCATTTTAAGTTTACTATTAAAGGATAAAACAGTAATGTTAATAGCGCTGGAAGCATTCTTTAAAAAATACAATATTAATTACCTGATCTCTCTGGTCGTGTTGGATTGACGGACTATGAGCACGGGTAAATTTAAGGGAACAGGTAAACCTAGGTTCATTATATATTTTCAGTACCAGTATTATGAACAAATAGAACACATCTAAGTTTTACCATCCTAAATCGGCGTAGCCTATAACAACTATGCAGGCTAGGGTACGACTTTCCATTGACTCCCATCGAGTTGGGGGTTGATACGTATTTTACAGATAAGTTACACTATTATAAGCTCACACACAAAGTTACAATATGCGGAAGCGCGTAATTTTTGAGAAAAAAGTTATTGAAAATCAATTATTCTTGCATTGTATATGTCTAATCCTACAATAAAACTGACGCCATTTTTTTATTATTATTGTCAGTAGGGATGTCGATTCTTTCCGAAAAAGATCGATTTTTTAAATAGATTCGAATTGTAAGCTGATATATCGATTCCCAAAAAATCGATTTCTAAAATATCTATATTTTTTTCATGTTTGCATTTATAATGTAAATATAAATCCATTTTATGACAAAAAAATCCCCTTCATCATAAAATATAGGGGGACTGATTGAGAAGGATTTCTGTATCTATTTTGAGACTGCTACGTCTCCAGCGCTGCGGGAAGAGCAGCCTCCGCCGTAACAAATCGTAGGCATCGAACGAGCCGAAGCTGCAGAGGCGAGGACTACGCGCCTCCGGCTCTTTAAAACCACTCTAGGGGTAGGACCGACTCGTACCAGGTGGAGTCGGGGTCAATCAATTCGGTTCTTTGACATAAGTTGAACCTAACCTATTTATAATATAACCTATTTGTTATCTGCCCTAATTGGTACTGTTAAAATAAAACAAAATTCAATAAGAGATCATTTGTTATGGTATCTTTCTTGTTTTTCATAAAATGGAATTATATTTACATTATAAATGCAAACATAAAAAAATATAGATATTTTTGAAATCGATTTTCACTTACGATTTGAATCGATATAAAAATCGACCTTTTTCGGAAAGAATCGACATCCCTACTGACGACAATGACATTACAAAATGGCGTCAGTTTTATGGTAGGATTAGATATAAGCAATGCAAGAATAATTGATTTTCAATAACTTTTTTCTCAAAAACTACGCGTGTTGTAACTTGTGTGTGTGCTTATAATAGTGTAACTTTTCTGTAAAAATACGTATCAACCCCCAACTCGACGGGAGTCAATGGAAAGCTAAGCCCAAGTCCCAACAACCTACAATCATTTTAGTACAAACATTGGCAAAATTAATGGAGTACTTATACCTATCGGCATATTTATGTAAGTTATACAGCAAAGTTAAATTTTATCCACTCTCCATCCCCCTCCCCGGGTGAGCGTCACCTTCAGCGCCCCAAAGTGTTCCGATGCGCGGTATTTTTCAGTTTTAAAGAGAACCGTACACGATTCATGAAAAGTGTGGATGTACAAAATGATCCTTGATAAATTGATCTTGTTCAATCTTTTATACATACGAGGGTGACACTAGAAGTTCTTACAAAATCAAAAACTGAACAAACTAGCAAGTTATTAGTTTTATTATATCTTTTCAAAATAGTGTCCATTTACATTAATATATAGCTGCATTCGATGGAACCACTGAGAAAAGCACTTTGCCCCCACGTTAGGGGTCTCTTCGACGGCATTTTGTAACGCAGCCACTGCTTCCTCGGCGTCCATAAAACGTTTTCCTCGAAGTTTTTATTTTTTATTTTCGGAAATTAATAAAAGTCGCAAGGTTGGGGCTATAGGGCGGGTGTCACTAGTAATTCCACGTCTGACGTCGCCAAGTAGTAGATTGTTTGCTTGGCGGTGTGCGACGAGGCGAACTTTTTCCAAGACAAGTGGCAAGCAATTGTTAGGGTATCACTCTCCAGCAACTGTTTTTCGATCCTCTAAAACAATTGTTGCGTAATGGCCTGTCCTTCCGAAGAACGATGCCACTATCTTTTTTCGCACGCTTCGACCTCTCTTCACTTTAGTTGTTAACTCCTCGGAAGGAAACAC